TCTTCCCTACATCATCATCATCATCATCACCACCACCACCATCATCATCATCATCTATCTCACCTACACCACCTACATCACCTACACAATCTTTTTCCATCAACCTCATCTACATGACATACATCATGTACAACGCATACATGACCATACCTACATCATAATCTATATGACTGCATCCCCTGCGTCACCTACATCTTCAAACCTATCTAACCTTACATCACTTGCAACATCATCCTCATCATCCACAACATAGACAACACCACCTACATCAGCTACAGGTGATCAACTTCTAGGGAACTCCTACAAAACTTGAAAAATGTCATTTACACAGGAGTTGACTTGCAGTTGATCCACTTCTACTTGAACTCCTACAAGACTCCTGCCTGCAAGGTCATTTGCACAGAAATTGTTACACAGTTACACGGGAGTTGCTACACAGGAGTTCAGCTAACTTCCAGGTGATCAAATTGTATGTGAACTCCTGCAAAATCAGACTTCTCCAGTATCTCTCTGGCGGCAGCGACAGCCAGGCGGTGGCTTACGAAACGTTACCCTCTGCGGCGTGTCGGACACCCAAACGTGTGGCGAAATGCGGGTCTTGTTTGTCCTTGGGCAACCCTCTGCGGAGATCGTGCGTGTCGGATGGGCAAACATGTGGTGTGGTGAAATGCGAAACTTCTTTGCCCGCAGCAACCGTCTGCGGAGATCGTGCGTTTCGAACATTTTCGAACGCCCAAACATGTGGTGGAATGTGAATTTATTTTGGGCACGGGCAACCCTCTGCAGAGATCGCGCAGGTCGGACATCCAAACACGTGGCAAAATGCAAATTTGGTGGGGCCCGGCGCAGCCCCTTCGCACGAAATGAGGGTCAACCATCAAAAACTTGCTTGTGTAAAATTGTGATTTTGATACCTGCTGGAATTCCCCTGCTAACATGGACTCCTGCATTCTTTAGACAAAAAACGGCGGTCCACCTTGCACTACTGAAATGGCACATCTAAAGAATGCCAACCCAGGGATATCCAGGGATCAAGGGGGTCTAAGACCATCTAAAAAATCATGGCCCAGGCAACCAACTACAAAAAGATACAAAAAATACAAATACAAAAGCAGAACTCTAAAAAATAAGGAGTCCATGTTAGCCATCTGGATGTCAACCACTATAAAATTGTCCTTGTTAGAAAATGCATGAAAGTTGTTGTCATGGTTGCAACCTGCTTGATTCATCTGTGATGCAAACAGTGGCCGGCGCAGAACAGCAGTTTTAGCAAATTGCAAAAATTCAATCAGCTTGTCCATTCCCTCTCAAAATGCCCTCTCTAAAAAATCCTGACCCAGGAAGCCTTTGCAAAAAATGGGGAGTCCGGGTTCGCCATGTGGATGGCAACCACTTTTTAGCAAAAAAAAAAGCTTTTTGCGACAACCCGGGTTGTCCCATTCTTTAGTGGAAATTCCAAGGGGGATTGATTTTGAAAGTTCAGATGCAAGCGTGGCATGAAAGTCATACGGCAGTAACTGTGGGAAAACTGAGGTTTTTTAACGTCAGATGCAAACATTCAAGAATTGGTGTAAAATTGCGACTTTATCCATTTTGGAACGTCAGGCACAACCGTTTCGCGCGAAATAAAACTGGTGTAAAATTGCGATTTTACAAGGTCAGGCGCGACCCTTTCACGCAAAATGATTGTCCAACGTCAAAAAATGTCAAAAAAATGCGATTTTCCAACGCCGGATGCAACCCTTTCGCACGATATGATGGCCGAACATCAAAAACTTACGTAAAATTGTGATTCTTTGAAGTGTGTAAAAGCTGCTCTGTGGAATCGGTTTTTCTGTGGGAAAGCGTCTGTGTGTAAAGGCTTCTCTGTGTAAAAGCTTCTGTGCGTAAAAGCCTCCGTGTGTACAAGCTTCTGTGTGTAAAGACGTCTGTGTGTAAAAGCTCCTGTGCTCAAAAGCTTTTCTGTGTAAAAGCTTCTGTGGAAAAGCTTCTGTGTGTAAAAGCTTCTGTGTGTAAAAGATTCTCTGTGTAAAGGCTTCTCTGTGTCAAAGCTTCTGATTCTCTGAAAAACCATCTGTGTCTAAAAGCTTCTGTGTGTAAAGGCGTGTATATGTCAAAGCGTCTCTGGGTAAATGCTTCGGTGTGGAAAGGCATCTGTGTTCAAAAGCTTCTGTGTGTAGAAGCATCTGCCGCATCTGTGTGAAGAACTTTTGCGTAAATGCCTCTATGTGTAAAGACCTGTCTGTGTAGAAGCTTGGGCATTTGCGTGTTTAAAGTTTCTGTGCGCATAAGATTGTATAAGCTGCTCTGTGCAAAGGACTCTCTCTGTGTAAAAGCTTCGGTGTGTAAAAGCTGCTCTGTGTAAACCCTGCTCTGTGAACAAGCTTCTATGCGTAAAAGCATCTGTGTGTAAAAGCTCTGTGCGTAAAGGCGTGTCTGTAAAGCTTTTGTGTGTGTGTATGTGTAAATAAATGCTTCTGTGTATAAAGGATGCTCTGTGTAGAGGCTTCTCTGTGTAAAAGCTTGTCTGTGCAAAGCTTATGTGTAAAACATTGTGCTGTAAAACCCTCTGTGCGTAAAAGCCTGGGGGGTCTGTATGCAAAAGCTGCTCTGTGCATCTCTGTGTAAAAGCGTCTGTGTGTAAAAGCTGCTCTGTGTAAAGGCCTCTCTGCATCAAACCTTCGGCCTGTAAGCTCTGTGAACATCTGTGAACAGGCTTCTATGCGTAAAAGCGTCTGTGTGTAAAAGCTCTGTGTGTATGTAAAGCTTTTGTGCGTGTAAATGCTTCTGTGTATAAAAGATGCTCTGTTTAGACGCTTCTCTGTGTAAAGCTTCTCTGTGTAAAGCTTCCGTGTGAAAACCTCTGTGCGTAAAAGCCTCTCTGTGTAAAGGCCTCTCTGCGTCAAAGCTTCAGTGTGTAAAAGCTGCTCCTCATAAACGCTGCTCTGTGAAAACAAACCTGAATGTAAAAGCCGGTCCGCGCAAGGCTTCTCTGAGTGAAAGCTGCTGTATGTAAAAACCATTGCTCAAAGTTCCTTCCCGCAAACGCTTGTCTGTGAAAAAGCTTCCCTGTGCAAAATCTTCTCTGTGTAAAAGCTTCTGTGTGTGTGTAAAAGCTGCTCTGTTTAAAGGCTTCTCTGAGTAAAAGCTACTGTGTGTAAAAGCTTCTGTTTGTAAAGGCATCTCTGTGCAAAAGCTTCTGTGTAAAAGCTTTCTTGTGAAAAGGCTGTAAAAGTTTCTGTGTCTAAAAGCTTCTTTTGTAAGGTGTGTGTGTGTGCAAAAGGTCCTGTGTGTAAAAGCTTGGGCATCTGCGCCTTAAAGTTCCTGTGTGTAAAAACTTCTTTGTGAAAAAGCGTCTGTGTGTAAAGCTGCTTTGCGCAAAGGCTTCATGTGCTAAGGCTTCTTTTAGAAAAGGCCTTTCTGTGTAAGAGCTTCTGTATGTAAAAGCATCTGTGTGCAAAAGCGTCTGTGTAAAAGCTGCTCTGTGTAAATCCCTCTTTGTGTAAAGGCTTCTGTGTGGAAAATCTTCTCTGTGTAATTTTTTTCGCTGTGTAAAGACAACATGTCTTTTGATTCTGACTGTCTCAACTTCCAAAAGTGGTCCGAGCATGGTGTGCTTTGTACATTTTGACTTAAAAATGTGCTTCGCGCCACAACGGCGTGCCCTTTTTCGACTTGGAAATATGCTTCGCGCATCTTCGCGCCACAACGGCGTGCACTTGTTCGACATCTCAACTTCCAAAAGTGGTCCGACAATGGTGTGCTTTGTACATTTTGACTTGGAAATGTGCTTCGCGCCACAACGGCGTGCAATTTTTCATCTCTCATCTGGCCAGCTGGCTCCGCACCCGCCGCTTTAGCGAGCCTACTTTTCGACCCTCCGGAGCCACAAATCATTGGAAAAACACAATGTTTCGCGACTTTCCTACCTTTTCGCGCATCTGCATCTTCTTTCTTCTGACTCTTTCTCTTCTACTCTTCTCTTTTCTAATCTTTCTCTTCTCTCTGCCTCTGCCCTGCTCTGCTTTTCATCTGTCCATGTTGTCGGAAGTTTGACTTCTAAACTTCCTTCGACTAGATTTAAATGTGTAAATTCAGAGTTCCGTACGTCCTCACTCTCCCAAAAGGGTTCCCTCGAGTGGGTCCATGGCACCATGTCGGAACAACCATGGAAATCACACTAGGCAAGAACTGGATCATTGAAGTGATCCGATGGGAACTGAGTCCTGTAAACGTGCAAGAAAACAAGATTATTGATGCCAGGTAGACCTCCATGTAGCAGAACCAAAAAGTTCCAAATACATAAGATCAACGAACAAAAACTTGACGACAAAGCCCCCAAATAAATAAATTCTAGAGATGAATATCCCATTCCCAATAGATGTTTCAACTGTTACCCGTTTGAGACGCGAATTATTTCGACATAAAATGATGTCCGCAAAAGATAAAAAATGGTAAAAAGCCGCCAGACCACAACATCGCAACCTAACAGTCGCCAGTTCTCGGGGCCAGTTGCTCCATGTGTTTTTGTTTTCCCTCCTTGGCGTGTTTCTTGCGTCCTATGCAATCTTGTGAAAATGGCATCGCCCGACCGCGAATGATTTCGCGCTGCAATCCCAGCAAACATGTTGGAAACATTGGTGATTCAAACTTGCGCGTTTTTACAAGAAGAAGACTGGGACTCGATTGTCCCACCAGAAAGGCGGAGTATAAGTTTCGACCGAAGAAAACAACGGGAAAAGTTCCGATCTAAGGAAACAATGGAAAAAAAGGGTTGTCCAGCTAGGGTTCTCGGCTTAGCCCTCTGCCATGTCCGTGAAAATAAATAAATCTGTATTAGTCTGTATTGGAGTTCTCGGCTTAGCCCCTCGTCATTGCTGAAGAAACCAGAATCAATTTTGCAGGTACGTTTGCACCCCCATGCTGTCTGGTCTTCGTTGGGCAGGACAGACAGGCATGTGGGTTCCTGGCCCCCTGCAGTAATCGACGAAGATACGAGGTCAGAAAATAGAAGTTTTACATCTGTTCAGATGTTGCACACACACACACACACTCCGTTCGACGAAAAGGCATAATAAATCCTTTGATATCCTTTGTGCATCTTCGAGCCAAAGCCAAGTAATGCCAAGTCTCTCGAGGAACTTGCGCCATCGTTTTCTTGAGACTTGTTCCACTGTGGTGACGATGATACCCGCACGTGTCAGCCTTGCGTACCCTTCCATATCAGCGTGGGCCAACTTGTAGGCCATGTTCAACTGCGCAACCAAGAGGTTCAGCAGCACAACAGCAACCAGAATCCTGAAGACAATCACAGCTATCCTTAGGAGAACAGGTCTTGCGCGCACAGGAAGCCAAATGCCCTGCAAGTTGCAAGCCGGCAGAAATATGAACATGCGTTGACCATTTGAAACCAGGCTTGCGTATATTGGGGAGGGGCACTGCGTTTCTTTCCAGCTTATTTTTGCGAATTCTCTGCATCCGAGCGTCTCCACCCAAACTGATTCCTTCATCATGATCTTGTAGTTCTCGGTTGGGTACATGCCTCAGTGTGTTTGACGCGCTCCCTAGCCAAAGCCCGACTGCAAGGTGCAAAATTTTGAAGGAAATCTGGATGAGAACTGGCAGAAAACGCACAACAAGACTTGGCCAAGAACTACTTTGCAAGCACATGACCTCAAAAAAGGGGATGTCCTGGTAGCGGAAAGCCTCAAGATCTCAAGCCATGCTGCCCAGCGTGATTTCTAACAGAGTTTCCATGCCCTTGTCTACAGAGGAAAACTCATATAGGCTGTGATGGAATGCAGTGATGGCGGTGGCAAAGGCAACGATCAGGAAAAGGAAGGCCATCAAAAAGAGACAAACCTCACAGGGCAAGGATGTTCGTTCAAAGAATCATAAGCGTGCCATCAACTTCAAGCAATCATCTTCAATCATCTTCAATCATCTTCAATCATCTTCAGTCATCTTCATCAATCATCGTCCATCATCTTCAATCATATTCAATCATATTCATCAATCATGTTCAATCGTTTTCATCAATCATCAGTCATCTTCAACCATCTTCATCAGTCATCAATCATCATCAATCATCTTCAATCATCTTCAATCATCGTCAATCAACTTCAGTCATCTTCAGTCATCTTCATCCATCATCGTCCATCATCTTCAATCACCTTCAATCAGATTCATCAATCATCTCCAATCGTCCTCAGTCATCTTCAACTATCTTCATCAATCATCGTCCATCTTCAATCATTTTCAGCCATCTTCAGTCATCTTCATCAATCATCGTCCATCATCTGCAATATTCTTCAATCATATTCATCAATCATTTTCAATCATCTTCAGTTGTCTTCAGTCATCTTCATCAATCATCGTCCATCATCTTCCATCATCTCCATCAGTCATCTTCACCCATCTTCATCAATCATAAATCATCAAGCATCTTCTTCAATCATGTTTAATCAACTTCTGTCATCTTCAGTCATCTTCAGTCATCTTCATCCATCACCGTCCATCATCTTCAATCATATTCGTCAATCATCTTCATCAATCATCAATCATCTTGTAACTTCTATCGTCTTCAGTCATCTTCATCAATCATCTTCAGTCATCGTCAATCATCTTCAATCATCTTCAATCAGTTTCAATCATCGTCAATAAGCTTCAATCATCTTCAATCACATTCAGTCATCTTCAATCATCTTGAATCACTCCTCAACGACCACTTCACAGACTGAACGACATTGGAGAGTAACATGACACGCCCTGGCCTCGACCAGCACACGACCACAAACAAGAACAAAGGCTGAGATTTTCATTGAGAAAATGCTCAAGTTCACGAGGAGAAGCCTTTGGCGGCACAGTTGAGATGCTGTACGCTGTGTTCCCATTGCGGAGTCAAATGATTCAAATATGCCTTTATAATCCTCTATAATTATATTGCAAGACAGCAGGGGCCTGTAGCATGTGCAGCTGATTGCTGAATAGGACACAAGACTAGGCAACCCTCAGCACCGCTACGCTAACATTCACAAACGCCCTGGCTTTCGGCTCATGTCTCCCGATGGCATCCCAGAAGCCAGTACAACAGCATGGCAAGGCCGGAGAAGCCAGCGTATGCCTCCTCATTCGGGATCTCGGGAAAACATCTGCAAGCTTCTCCAACATTCTCCCACACACACAAGAAACACAACAAAAAACAAAGAATGCAAAGTACTGTTTGTAAAGCTACGGTGCAAATTCTTGCGCCTTCCTTCAACCATAGTTCAGAATAGAGAACGTCTATAATCTATGAGTTTGTTGCCGCATCTCAGTCAAGCCATATCAAGCCCACGTTCAAACTTGTTCCATTCTTTCTGAGGGCTCCTCCGCCCCGGGATCCATACAACCTGTGGCAAACAGACCAAATTGTTCGGAGTAGGCCAAGCAGTGAAGAATTGGCTCCTGCGAGCTACGCGTGCTGAGCTCCCACAAAATTGCAAAGTTATGCCAGATCCATACAGCTCTGCAGGATCTCAGGACATCAAACACACCAAACAGGTGCTCCGAAAACAATCGCAAATCATCCCGAAAAATGGCAACGGCCAAACAGCCTACCATACTCCTTTTGAGTACATTGAATCTTTCCAAGCCTTTCGGAATCACAAATCGAGGTCCTAATGCATAGCTGCGCGGCTCCTGGATCAACATCAACACCAATACCCACATGAGTAGCAGGCTTCCGCTGTCTTGCAAGTTGAAGAGGTACCTGCAAATGTGGGTTGTGATATGTTATCATGGAATATGCTGCGTTCATTTTACCATATTTTACCATTATCATCCATTATCAATCATTGTCATACTGTTTCCATTAGATACTATTTTGGTCCTAGTCCCTCGGGCTGATAGGTCCCACACAATTCCACAAACCAAAGTGTTCGTTGTCACTGGTTCTTCAGATCAACGTATTTATAACAAGGCACTGGGGCAACGGGACTTTGTAGGTCCGGACAATTGCTCCATTCTTGATGTCATCGTATAACAGCTTGATCTGGCCTCAGCTACACTAGCAGCTACACCCAACGTCAGCATAGAGGCGAGGCCAGAAACTGCTTCGTTTTTCCTTTTGGGGTACGATCTGCGTTCAGAGATCACGATGCTTTGAGAATCATCCACTGTGGTTTATGATATTTATGACTTTCCATAACTTTCTGCATTCCTTCCTGATCTTTCTGGCAAATCCAGGCCCAGGCAAGCCGCAGTACAGAATGCGGCACATACTCCCGAGGTAGATGAATATCCGGCACACGAATATGGCAGTACGCTCAGCCATGCTTGGCTCAACACCACCCAAGATTGCCTGTCCTGCGACGAAGACCTCAAGGAACCAGGCGAGTAACACAAGTGTCTTGAGCGGAACCCCGCTTTCTGGACACAACTCCTGCTGTTGGCACATATCATCATATTATTAGTATATGTATTTATATATATATATATATATATCATATCATTATATTTCGAAATATATATCTCTGTCTGTGTGTGTGAACCATCTGAACAAATGTAAAACCTCTTTTTACTATTTTTTACTGTTTCCTGGATTTTTTAAATTAAACAACAAATTGCAGGGGGATGGAGTGTGCTTCAGATGTCTCCATCCAACGAAGACGCATCTGTTGCACAGTGATATGGATGTGTGTGTGTGCACACTGCTAGTCACATGCAGTTCATTAATTGTCCAGATGCAGGGGAGTGCGGCATGATTGTGGGACCGCACTCAACGAAGCTACCACAATCATGGGATACTGGGTCTGATCAACCCAGCGTACCTGCAAGTTTCGATGTATTTCTTTCTCACTCGATATGGCAAGGGGCTAAGCCGAGGACCCCAACTCTACGTAACACATTTCCTTTGACCTTTCCTGACAGGTTGCCTTACCTAGGAATTCCAGGCGATGACTACCTCAACGTTCTCATGATTTTCTTATTTAAACATGCAGTGTGTGGTCAACCCAGACTGTTCTAGTTCATTGGAGCGAATTTGGAGAGCGAACGAATCGCTGTTGGTTGGGCCGGTTGGGCAAATCCATTGATGCAAACCAAGGACGCACAGGCAAAACAGGAAGTAGCATCTGCCCAGCAAGAAGTCATACCTTGCCGCGATCAGCACTTGAAGCAATCGAAGCGAAATGATTCTTTCATGGTTGCCACTTGAAGTTGAAGGACTGCAGTTTTGATGCAGCAGCCGGAACATCAAGTCATGCAAAACGCACTTATTGAAGTCCTGGATGCTGTGCCATCCTCGTCCAGAGGAGGTCTGCGAATAGGACAACTGCAGAATGGCAAATAATCTTTGGATCGTTGCGCTCCACCAGCCACTCCAGGGCCCTGCTGAAATTGTCATCTGCTACGTCCTGCACATGTTTGGGGATGCTTGATATAGATTTAAACGGAGTCTTATAAGTCTTATAATGTCTTATATATGTGATATCACACAAACCGAAGAGAGCCAAAAGATTCTGGTGACTCTTTATCTATATAGTTATTACAATGCCATCGCGCCCCAACAGATGCGAAAAGCAATCTCCTGGACCAGGTTCCGGACCTTGAAACAGTAAAGGACTCAAGGAGATAAAATAAACTGTTGGAGCTTAGATAAATTGGAGTTTGTGGATTGTGGCTTGCGAAAGTCCATTCCTCACACGCAGTTTCTGGATTGAGGTTTACCCTGGGCAACCCAAATTCAAGACTTGGTGAGCATCTTCGGGCTAAAAAAATTGAGCATGGAACATGTGAAAAGTAGTGAGATGCTCCACTGTACATGTGAAATTCTGAATTGTTCTATAAAACCAGCGACTTAAATTTCATATATTTCACCAACACCAACCCGCTCAGAACCTGCACACTTTGGATTATTGGTGCCTCCCCAGTCATGAACAAGGAAACGGAATGAAATGCATCAACATCCCGTGTTTGCAGACAAAGCACATAGAAATTCACACGGCGCTTGCCGTCGAATGCCTGCCTCGAGCGCCAAACCAAACCATCTAGCAGCGTCCAAAGCAGGTTGGGTGCCGAATTGCCTCAGTCCATCATCCCAGGGATAATCTTATTCCAGTGGCTCGCAGCTTGCCGTGGCACCAATTGTATATATTATTATAATATTTTATATAATCACATTTGACGTTTAAGACACTTCCCTTGGACACGACCTTTTGCGCCTTCTGGCCCCAACAAAATTAAAAGCCAAAGCAGCACAGGCGTTGGATCACTTCTGGATGTCGTGTGAAGAGCTCATCCACACCAAAATAGTATTTATCTCCTCGGACGGGATGTCAGCTGTGACTTGTAGCTAGAAGCCAGGTCTGAAAATTAAAGAGAACAGCCGTCAATCTGTGCATTTCAGGGCCCATGGTGGTGCACATCCCAAATGAATTCATGACATCTCATGACTTTCCCGGCATCTTGCATCACATGATTTCAAAGGTTTCTAGAGCAAAGCAAAGTGGGTTCTCGAGGGTTCTGTTTTCTTGCCAAGACCTGGATTCTTCATGCGGCCTCATTTTGGTGCTATTGTATGGCCATGCTTCGATCAGCTCGGATGGTCAACAAATCTTCAATCATAGCTTTCGCACATTCCAGACTTCCACTGTCGATAGCCCAATAAAACGGAGAGATTGACTGAGTGCCAACGGTGATGTTGAGCAATTCAGTTGCCCTCTTGTTTCTTGGCGCAATCGCTATCGCCTGTCTCAGTGCACGAGCTGAATTGGTGTTGATGGCTTTCATGACCTTGGTAGCACTAAAGTTTTCAGGCTTTGAGGCATCAAAGAGACCAATGCAACCAGTCTGAGAACCCTTGCACGACCTTTTCAAATTCAAGTGAACTCAGGCTGCCATCTATCTGCTTGTCTCTTTCCTTGACTGAAATTTCTCACCATCCTGACCAAATACCCATATGAAATGATTGTGTGTGTGTCCAATATTGTCCAATGCTTATATGCGGTACATTGGTAGCTACAGTACCAGTACTGAACGACTGATGCTTCACACTTCGCGACTGACTCCGCCTAAGAAAACAATTTGGACTCTGATACTCCAAGCTTGGAAATCAAGTTCAGTGTGCTCATCGGGTCTTGTATGTCTTTCTTCTGTTGGAATTGTGATCCTGTCATCCTGTTTCCCATGCCTCCTCGTTGTGAAGTTCAAACCAAAGGATGCTTGGTTCTGCAGCAAGAGACACGGGCGTGTATCATACATATACCTATAATTTCATCTCCACAATGCAATTCTTTGTCTCTAAATCTCTCCGTTTCTCTCTTCTTGTTCAGACACGGCCATGCTCAAATATGTCTGTCAACATATGTCAATTTTAGTGGTGCGTGAGGTCACAAAGGTCCTCACAGTCGTTTCGCTTCCCGTTCTTCCAACTCAACCCTGTCCAAGTTGCAATTGTGCTCCCTTCCAAAATTGTGCGGACCAAAATCTTGGAAATTAATGTCCTTAGCAAAGCGGCTTTGATGTGCTGAGCAGCGGCTGCAGCCTATCCCAGGACTCATGACATCAACGCAGATCAAAGTTGCACTCCTCGACTGTAAGTCGTCTTTGGAAGTCTTACCTGTTGATCAGCACTTCGGACTTTGCAGCGACTGTCACATACATGACTGCACTTATTTCAGGATATTTCAGCTCCAAGCTTCAAAGACCAGCGAAATGCACTCTCGGCAACATCATCTGAGGTCTGCTCTCGAACAGTTACCACGGCAGAAGAGACGAATGGAGCAAAAAGCTCTGTCGGGATAGCATACCCGACATGCCGCAGTCCCAGCGCTGAGATGTCCTGCCCGCACCAACAAAAACAAAACCACTAAGTGCAGCCGATGGGGCTTCAATGCTTGAGTGGCCAGAAACAAAGTATGCGAAAGGAAATGTTGGCGAGCAAAAGTTGGTTCTGAAACATTCTAAACAACGCTGTAACAACGCTCTGGCAGGAGAGCAGATGACAGGAGAGCAATCAGGCAAACTATGAAACGCGCGGCCTCAAACAGTTGAAGCGGCAAACCATTGCACATACACGGAGAGATGTACCATGTGTTCGCAAGACTTTTCCTGCCCAATAGGGCGAACCAGTAGTCAGACGAAGGGAGAGACCAAACAAAGCTGCCACAGCATCCCAAGCAGGGAGACTAAGCGAGGCACCAATCGGAGATTCATAGACTCATAGCCAACAACCAACAAGGCCAAAGCAGGTTATTGGAGTCATAAGAGAAAGTATGAATAGCTAAAATCTTTGGAGATTCCGAGGCAAAATCGGGGAGCTTCAAACCACAGATCCCAGGTTTGCTGCTCCTTCCTATTTCGAACAAAATTTCGTGATGGCGTGTTCACGTGGTCCCTACTCCACAAGTTTGAAATTTGTCTGGGAAAATATTTTCTGACTACAGTTGCTTATTTGAAAGACGAGCCGCATTCTGTTGCCTGCATGTTAAGTGTAACTTTGAGCTGTCAAACATTGCATTTGATGCTGTCATCTTTTGTCGCACTTGCTCACGCGACAGCCGAATCTGCCTCAACCATCGCACGAGGCTGATGATACATCTCCATGGTCATCTCAATGATCTTGTCAGCAATGAAATACAAGCGAGTGGTGGATTGTTTGAAATGATCTTGCCCAGCTGGAGCGATTTGAAAAAACCTGCAACGCATGGCTGTCCCAAATCTCTCTCTCTCTCTATCATCTGCTTTCGCTTTTGCCTGTCTTGCCTTTAGTAAATATGACACTTGTGTCACAAGAAACGCTGGTCATGTGCATCCATCAACGAAAATGAACTGCACTCTGAGGTTGTCTAGCAAGGCATGGCTTGCCTCTGGTATATCTGCTTCCGCACGACATAGATATCTTCTGATGTCAGAGATGCAATGAATCGTGACAAGGCTTTTTCCTGCTGCCCTGGTTTTCCCATGTTGGATTTGATCATCCGTTCAACGTTCCTGGGCGAAGCTTTGTGGGCTATGGCCGTCGTGCGGGGAGGAATTGAAACTGGACATACAAATTGTATATCTATACTATACATATATATCATTTATCTGTGTGTGTGATGTATACATGCTATTGATTGACATTGATTGGCATTGATATTGATTGCTATTGACCGTGTTCATTGGACTCATGTCGCAACAGCCTTTTCCACATCATTCCATCTTTCAACTTGAATTAAGATAATTCAGTACTAAAAAAATGCCAAATTGTGTCAGCAGAATATTGGAAGGTGAGGGTGCAGGTGTATACTGGAATCGCGGTAAAGATCAAAAATGCGGTTGATTGCGGTGTTCTGGGGATCATGATGATGCTGACGCTGAGGTGATTCTGACGGTGATAACGATGAGGAGGATCAGAATCAGGGGAGGACAAGGATGAGACGAGGATGAGACGAGGATGAGACGAGGATGAGACGAGGATGAGACGAGGATGAGCCGGCTGTCATTCTGAGAGGACAGCTATGGACAGCTTCTTATTTTGCCGGTCAATGCCGCAGACATGGGAATCATGGGAGCACAGGGAGACAGACGAAAACGACCGTCAAACTAAACCTTTAGAACGAGCAATGGGCAACGGGAGTCAAGTATAAAATAATTAGTAAAAATATGTAAAATGGAGATGATGCATGCTGAAACCGCCAGCGTCTCCCATTGCTCTCGGTTGCAACCAAAAATCTCCCATAGCCAGTTCCAGGCAACTTCGTGATCAGAGTCCCACTCTTTGGGGACGAGAGATCGTAAAGATGCCAACATCACAGCCTGGTATCAGGATGTGTCGGTTCGGCATGGTTCGGCCAATCAAACAATGGAAATGTCAAGGTCATTTAATGCCATGTTTATAAATATGTTTATGTCATTTATGAGTGACACTTTTGATGTCATGTGTGCCATGGGCTACTATCATCATTCAGCGGTACCATTAGCTTGAATTCATCCAGGTGAGAGCTGTGTGGGTCCCTCCGCGTGGTTTGCCCGTTCTAATTAATCCTAATGCATCCAACAGGATCATCACAAGCCATCCCAGGCCCTCCCCCACATTTTCTCGGCTCCTTGAACTCAGAAAGGTGAATTTGCCCTGGTTGCTTGTCCAAAACCAGACTCAACACGTCACATTCCTCTTGCCTTGGCTCATGCCAACATCAAAAACTTATTGATCCTCCGACCCCCACCCAAGCACAACTATGTCAAACGTACTTTTGGTTCGTTCTTTCATTGATGCACTGGCACTGTGCTATGTTTGTTGGCTCATTTCATTGGTGAAACTGGGCCCGATGATGGTCCACCGGTGCCATCGCGTTTTAATTGCTTGGTATGTTGCACCCAAGTCATGTCAACGCATTTGATGACGGGTTACATGGATTGTGAAGTTATCAGGGGCATAAACGCAACCTATTCATTGATTTATTGGTTGATTCATTGGTTTGTGGATTAATTCATCCATGTTTGTTGCAGCACGGCCAACGTCATAGCATTTATGTGTTGCTTCCTCTCCCTCCTTTCTTTCCTGCCTTCCTTCCTGCCTTCCTTTGCTCTGGGGTATCTCATGGTATCTCCCTCCCTCTCTCCCTCTCTCGCGCTCTGTCGGTCCAGGTGGCAAGCGATAGGAATTTGCCACATTCGTCACAATGTTGTGGAACTGCTCAAGGATCACCTTGGTGAACTGGTGAGTATGGAATTTTGCAGTGCAGAATCTGAATGTGTGGGTATCTACAATGTGTCAACACATGCATGTACATATAGCACATGTGTACATACAAACATATGGACCGGGTATACATTGTTTGCGTTTGTGTGTTCAAAGCACATATAGACAAATAATTATTATACACAATTTTCAGGAGTAGATGGCCCTGCCCACTTCCAAAGTGCGCGTGTAGATGGCGCCGACTTTTTGAATTTTGACACCCGAAGAGGGCGTGACATCCATCGCCCTTTTTTTTGTGGGTCGCGCCATCTATGCCAAAATGTGTTGCCAATGTGTTTCAGGGTTCTACATTGCAGTGAAGGACAAATATGCTTGGGTGTTTTGACTTGAGCCATCTCTCCGTGTGAAATCTCCTCTCTCCACCTGCAATTGGATGGCACTGTCCCAGGTGGTTGCCCATCTATTTAGTAGTGAAAAATCCTTTCCCCGAAAAGTTTTTGTTGAACACACACACCCTTTTTTTCAACGTTTTGATGACCGAAATGTCCAGTCCCGGAAGAAGGGGAAAAAAATAAATTACTTTACTTCGTGTGATCAGCACCATGACATTTATACATTTTGTTACTGGCAAATCTTCTGGCATTCTATCTGGCATTCATCTGGCATTCTTCTGGCATATTATCTGGCAATTCTTCTGGCATATCTTCTGGCATTCTACCTGGCATATCTTCTGGCAGATGTTCTGGCATATCTTCTGGCAGATGTTCTGGCATATCTTCTGGCATATCTTCTGGCATTCTTCTGGCATATCTTCTGGCATTCCATCTGGCATTCTATCTGGCATATCTTCTGGCATATTATCTGGCAAATCTTCTGGCATTCCATCTGGCATTCTATCTAGCATATCTTCTGGCATATTATCTGGCAAATCTGCTGGCATTCTATCTGGCAAACATTCTGGCACTTTATCTGGCATATCTTCTGGCATTCTAGCTGACATTCTATCTGGCATTCTATCTGGCATACCTTCTGGCATTCTATCTGGCATATCTTCTAACATTCTATCTGGCATATCTTCTGGCATCTGGCATATCTTTTGGCGTCGTGGATACTCGCGGTTGAGGTCCGGCAGGGAACACTGGGCGTGGATGGTCGTGGTTGAGGTCCGGCAGGGAACACTGGGCGTGGATGGTCGTGGTTGAGGTCCGGCAGAGAACACTGGGCGTGGATGGTCATGGTTGAGGTCCGGCAGGGCACACTGACGTGGATGGTCGTGGTTGAGGTCCGGCAGGGAACACTGAGCATGGATGGTCGTGGTTGAGGTCCGACAGAGAACACTGTGGATCGCGGGTCGCAGTTGGACGAGGAGGACGAGGAGGACGACGAGGAGGACGACGAGGAGGAGGACGACGAGGAGGAGGACGACGAGGAGGAGGAGGCGGGCGGAGAGGAGGAGGAGATGAGGAGGAGGAGGAGGAGAGGAGGAGCAGGCAACTGACATAAAATCTAACAACCCTCACCTGGCAGGTGGGGAAAAATGGGGTAGATGGCGCAATTTGGCCCATTTTGCACATGTAGGGTTGCGCCATCTTCGGGCACATTTGCTGTTTCGGGTACATATCGGAAAGGATTTTTTTCAATACTAAATAGATTGCGCAACCACCTCTACAAAAGTTGATCAGAGCCATGCATTCTGAATTCGGAGTATATTGTATCTTGGTGGTTGCTCTAATGTTTTTTCATTCGGAAAGGGCAATTCTTCGCAAAAAAAATGCGCTTATGGCAAAACGTTCGCGAGCGTCATGTCTACCTTTCGCTGGATCAAAATCACTTGCGCGAAACAACATGTTACTTTCGCAAACTTCGAAAGAAACTGTCCCGAGGGCTCGAAAACATGATATGAACGGTTCGTGCAATCATGACTCTTTACAAGGACCTTTGCATCGATCCCCATGTGTGTATGCATTTGTGCATAGATATATATATATATGCGTGTGAGAGACAGATATATATATATATACATACATATTATATGTATATATACATATATATTGTATATACATATATACATACTATATACATATATATACATATTATATATATACATATATATATACATATATATACATATTATATATATACACATGCACGTATATGTATGTATAAGTTGCATGTATACATATACATGCAATATATATATATATTATATATACAGTTATATATGCAAATAGACGTATATGTACATGTGAGCGTGTGTGCGTGTGCGTGTGTGCGCCACAGAAGAATTGCCAAAATATTTGAGGCGCTTGTTGCGAACCAGAAGTCAGCTTACAGCAATTTTGCTGTGTAATGCATTGAATATTTTTGGTACACAGGCCTTGTTACCTTGCACCAAACTCAAACTTGCAATTTACAAGCAGTTTCTGACAGCAACATCTGGTGCCTAGCCCCTCCACACAACCGTTGTTCGAGTCGATTGCTCTCACCTCGGTCCCCGAATTCTAGCTGGAGCACCGTATTGTGTCCAAGTCGCCGCCATCCAACCGCTCTCTCCAAGACCCATCACTGCCGCATTGAAGAGGAACATTTCATTAAAAGAGGTGGGAACCTGGACAATGTGTGTTCAACTTGAAATTAGAACCTCAAAAAATGCCCCGCGGAATGAAGTGCATCGCATACCATCCAACACGAAGCGGTTCTCTCTCACAGAAATGAACAAACATGACAACACCTGGAAATCCAACCAAACTTGCCCACTACAAACCTTGGCTTTAACGTCTTTCAACGGCATCCCTTTAGTTCCTTTAGTTATAAAAGTTAATTGCAGAACATGGAATGGAATTCGGAATGCAATGCGGCGCGTCCCCCCTGCGTGGACTGGCAGCCTCAGCTGTATCATTTCTGATCCCGTCTCGCCTTCACATTGGTCTTGCCGTTTTTATCTGTAGCTTGCATGGAGTTGATCGCACCTGCATTTGCTGCAGCCTTTGGGTCCTTTTCATCCTTCTTCGCCTTTTCAGCGAAACCGTCTGCTGGCATCCCTTGCAGTTTGGTGTATCTAAGACTATCTAAATTGGAATAATTGGATTCATCATTACAATTGGATTCATCATTACAAGTGAGCTCAATGTGGACCATTTCAATACTGAATATCTTGTGCATCTGGGGATCTTTCAGCAGACTGTGAAGAATGAATGTGAATCTAAGACCTTCAAACATGGATCCAGAGGGTCGCGCCAGCCACACCGTACCTCGCTTGTTGCATACAGCTTTCCAGCCTGATGCTGTGAGGCACTCGCGTTATTGCCTTCCTCCGCAGCGCCTTCTTCTTGCGGGGCGGGCGCCTGCAAAATCCAGTCCAAAACTTAAAGGTGTTCGCACAACAGCTGCCACCACCTTTGTTACAGTGCAGAATGCTTTGTGGATTGATGTTTCCCGGTTTGTTTGTTTTTTTTCGGATTTTCTGCTGTTCTGTCATTTTCCTTGCTATTTGCAGCATTTTGGAGCTCGAGCTGCCATGCCTGCGGTAGTTGCAGCATTGTAGGTTGAAAGTGTCGTTTCTGTTCAGGACTTTCGCGCACAAATCTGATAGCCATCTGGAAACTGGAAGAGCAATTGAAAGAGTTGCATGGAATTTGCAGCACTCGACACCCAAAGTTTCACTGGAATTTTAGGCACTTAGGCTTTACTTTGGATGGTTTTTGCGAATTGTTTTAATGTAAATTCATTTTTCTTTTAAAGGGTTGGTTTGCCAGAGGGTGTACTTCAGCTTGGTTTAAGTTTTTGCTTGGGGTTTAATTATATGGGTTTATTTTCTAGCAGTGACGTGTGCCAAAACGCCACTCGATACAAATGCCACAAGCAACTCGATCAGCTCATGGTTTTTCGCTGCGAAATGCGAAAGGCTCAGGACCCTATAGGCAGCGGCCATGCAAGGTGAAACCATGTGAAACCTGTCAGGATATGGTGTGACAACTGCTGCATGCTTCAGACCTTCACACTCGTGAACTTTTCTTTTGGCACACCATGGGATCTTCACGTAGTAATTGAATCTTGGGATTCTGAAGCCATGCCAGTAAATCACATATGAGATTTGCATCTACCTTCGTTAGGCAATCTGCTCTTTGCAGAAATGTTGGTACCCAATGTACCGTCTTGTGGTCTATCAGCTCCTGAATTGATCTTACATTGACTAAGCTTCGCTTGTCTTCTATATTTGGGTTCTGGGCAACTACACAATCGCACAGGCTTTTGCAATCGGTCGCCAGTATTGTTTCAATCTGTGACCTACTTTGTGCGCAGGAATTCCAAAAATCAGCTCACCTAACACATAGCTCACATATGCTAGTCGGTCAGTCGCACTGTCGGCAGAAACTGCTTCGGCTGCCTGTGTGCTACGACAGACCCTTTTGGATCTTCCAGATTTCCAGTCTACCACAGCTCCATTGCAAATTGTCTCCGTTACATTTGGAGAAGCCAGCATGACTAGTTGTCCGTGTTGTGATGCTGAACCCTGTGCATTCGCCCATGAAGCGTCGCTGTATGCCAGAATGACTGTGCTCTGATTCAGTGGAACTGGATGAATCACAACGCCCAGATTTGAAGTGGATTTCAGAAATTCCAGTGCCTTGTATAGATTCTCCAGGTGCCCATAGGTCGTGTCGCCACCATGATTCATCAGAGAGACAGTGCTAGCCACATCCAATCTTGTCTGTGAAGACAACCATTGTAGGCATCCCGTGATTGAGCGAAACTCTGGCCAGTCTGTGCTTGACAATTTGTTGTTCTTATCAACCCCTTTTGGTATTTTACCCAAACTCATGCTTTCTATAAAACCCTTTTGAGTGATTTTCAACACATATTTCCCTTTGTCCTGCGCCAGCTCAAATTCTTTGCCCTTCTAGGTGAAGGACTTCCCCACTTCAGCGTGTTGATGACTGCCCCACTTGAATGACTTGAGCAGCTCTTCAAACGGAAAGTTCTGGTTATACGTCATGAGGAAATCATCTACGTGGCAAACAAGGATTGCACATGGATACGGAGGATTGAAAGGATAAGGGTAATAGAACAACATGCGGTCAAAGGAGTGAATCTTGAAACCCAAGCGCGAGACGAGCTGTCACCTCCCTGCTCCATGTCACTGGGGCATTTGACAATCCATATAGATTTCCAGTGATTTCATAGAGCCTGGATCTGAAAACTCCAGCAAGTGCAATGATTGGATCTCGAGGTGCTCGAAGATACAACTTGCCCGCACGCTCGGAAACATCTTGCGTCCCTTGCAGAAATGCGGTTGCCGCATCGGCGATCCACAGTTTCCAGGCCATTGCTGTCTCAAATGCCATCTGATTGATACCTGAAATGAGAAACTCAGCGACCCGATTTGGCGGCGGTGATTGCCGAGTCAGAGACCGTAGGTCAGGATCTTGGTTGCCTTGAGCGACGATCCTCGTCTTTGCATTCACCGGGCCAACATTCTTGCTCTTGTCGCGATAGCATCCGCGTGAGTTGATCACTCTCTTCTTCAGGACTGGGTCTGCCAACACCTTCTCTTCTTCCTGTGATGACAATGGCTTATGGCACTTCCAGGTCATAAAGCTTTTGGCCTCCTTGACGGTGGCTTCCACAAACTTCTGGATATAGTCATGCGGTTGAGCCATGATGTGTCTCCAGTGTAGTTCCTTCTCTTCAGCCTTTTGTTGTTGGCGTGTCTTTGCAGGCATGCCCTTGGTCATGTCATCAAACTCGCCTTCAGACTCTGACAATGTTGTGTCAAGGTCTCTTTCTCGTTGAGCGAGTTTGTTGACATAGGTCTTGAAGAAGTAGTTGCATCGTGAAGGACCTAGATTCTCAGGACTTCCATCCCAGGCATGTGTGATCTCCTCAATGTTGTCGTCAAAAACCTCGAAGACAAAGTGAGGTGATGCATGATCATGCCATAGTTCTGTGATGATATCCAAGGCCTCAGGTTCAGGAAATGTCTCATTGTCAAGGTGATCTATTGGACAGTTGGTGATAACGCGTCTAGTCTTTGCGTCAATCGATCTCCTCCACTTGACTGAGCTCATAGGAGGACCTGATGCCATAGTTTGCTGCAGCTGTGTAGTTTTGAGATCAAGTCTGGCCCAACATGACAAACCTTGCTTTGGTGGCCTGCCTGGCTGGTAGTTGTGAAGCTCAAAACTCGTGTCGGTGTGCCTCTGTGCTTGTGTGATACCAGCCTGCATTGCTTCAAAAGGTCTCTTTGCTGGCAAAATGCCTGCTTCCATCTCCTGAGGATCATGTGCCCCAGGTGGTGTTTGAGGTATCGATTGTCCGATATCCTCGTGTGCGTCTTCCTTTGTGAGGTCGACGACTTCTGTACTTGCTGCTGCTTGTGTAGCTGCAGATTGCTGTTGTGCCGCTTGTGAATTCGAAAGGTTGCCAAGAGATGCCGGTCGGCTTGCTGTTGGCTCTGTACGTTGTGTGTTCTGCTGAGGCTGAACGTCTCCTTGGAGTCCATCTTGTAGTACTTGCTGCTGCAGGTATGGGTCGTCAGCTGCTTGCTGCTGATCCAGGTTTGCTGGTGTTGATTGGATCTGTTGTTGTTCTTGTGGAGGCAGTGCTTTTGCTCGTCGTGCTGTCGGTGTTCTTGACGATGTCTTCCCACCCGTCTGGATGGTGCGTATGGTGCTGCCATCGGTGTACTTGGTGCTGAGCCAAAGATGTTTTGTGTTGATTGTATGGTTTGTTCGAAGTGTATGTTTGTTTGTCTAGTGTGTGTTGGTGATGTAGCCGCTATAGCAGGTGCTTGTTTGCTGGGCTGTTGTGGTGTTGGTGGCTGTGCGACTAGAGGAGCATCTGGGGTACTCAAAGTCCAATTCCCCGGGGGCCTCAAAGTCCAAGTCCAAACCCCCATCGTCAGGCTCCTCATATGGTTCAACTTCGGGTGGAAGTTGGTGGTCATCGATCTTGTCCTCGATGATGTTCTGTTCGGCGTCTTTTAATGCCTTCACATCTTCTGGTGTTGGCACATACTGTTCATAGCCAAACACCTGTCGCACTTGGTTGTGTGCAACCTTCACTGTTTGTGACCCTGACTGTAGCCAAAGTGATCTGTTGTCGGGGTCTTTTCCAAGGTAACGAGCAATGCGATACCCACCACGTTTGCGATGAGATCTTGTAGTCCATCGCCAGTATGCAAGCAGTGACCCCGGCTCTGGGTCCAAGATGTGCTCAGGATTTGTCTTCCTCAGCAGTGCCCTCCGCAATGATGATGAAGCGGAGGATTCTGCTATGGCCTTCATGGCCTCGCACTGCATCATGGCTGAATGTTGCTGTGCTTCAGCCACTGTGGAACCTGCTATGAGTCCTCTTGAGTCGTTGATGAAGTCCATGCCGACTCGTGGGATCTTGCCAAAAGCAGCTACGAACGGCGGTCGTCCTGAGGACCATGTTGCAGAGTTCTTGGCGTACACACCGGCGACGATCGCACGATCAATCTCTTCGGATGGATTGCATGGTGTTGAGTCCACAATCTTCTCGAGTATGTTCCTCAATGTGCCGTTGTGACGCTCGATGAAGAATACACCTTTTTGGTCTGCTGCGATTTCGAGCTCTCACCACCGCTTTTCGATGTGTTCTTGCCCTTCGACTTGCCACTACCCTTGGCAATTTGCTGTATTCAGCGTCGCCAGCCCAGTGTCCGACTTCTCCGCATGCCGAGCAATGCGATGATCGTTTTCGATCTGCAATACTCCTGGTGCCGCTAAACTTTCTTCCCAAGGTCAGTGATTGCAACTTCTTTGCTGCGACGGTCAACACTTCTGCCACTCCGCCAAGATCCAACTCGTCTTCCGCTTCCTCATCTGGATTGTCGTCTTGCTCTTCTTCAGCTGCATCATCATTGCCGTCGCCTTCATTCTCAGGCGTGTCTTTTTCCTCATTGTTCTCTGCACCTTCATCTACTGTTTCCAGCTCCTGATGTTCTGCAGCATAGGCCTGTCGCGGCTTGAACTTGCCTTTGCCCTTGCTGATGCCGGATCTGTCAGACTTGTATGAAGATGCTGTTGACATAGACGACAAGGATGAAGATGAGGACGATGCTGATGGACTCTTGGTGAATGCCCGGATTGGATTCCCATCCTTTCCGAACAATGCAGGAGGTGGCTTATGTTCAGGAAATGACATACACAAGGATTCCAAAATGGCCGTGAAGTTGAGGCTGTAGCGCGAGCCAATCAGGGCAAGTCTCTGGTGCTCTGGACTCAGCCGGGCTCTCTCCAGAAGTCTGTTGCCCCGCGCTTCTTCGTCGTACATGCCTCGACATTCACACCAACTGAAGCAAGTGCGCGCTCAGTTCTTCTGTACCTGTTTGCATATGCCCAAATTGATTCACCATTCTGTCTCACAATTGTCTCATGGTCTGACAACAGCTTCCGCTTCTGATAAACCAGTTTGGTTTGAAGACCGGCTTTCAGCTGCTCCTGAATGTACTCAATGCCAGTGGAAGAGTTCACTTGTTTGAGGTCACAATTTTCAAGTTCCTCCTCCGCTTCACCGCTCAATGAAGCGAAAAGGAGAAGTGCTGCTTCCCTACGCGTCATGTACGAGGCAACCTGCAACTGCCACACTTGCAACTTCCGCTCCCACTTCGCATATGATCTAGGATCCTCGCGGCAATATTTCCATCCAGGTGGTTGTGGAGGAGCTCCACTGCGAAACTTGATGCCCTTCTCAGGACCCATGCGACTGTTCCATGAATGCGCACTTGAAGATGAATTGCGGTTTACCAGAGATTGTTGAATTGCCTTGGCAACATCACTATCATCATCATGCTCATGCTCAGCTGCGCGCAAAGGTAACTGAGAAACTGGCTGTGGCGATCCATCTTGTTGATCTACATGGTCATGTTGAGCTTGTCTGGCTCTTCGGGATCTTCTGTTGCGGCGCCTTCGAGACGCATGCACATCAGGTTCTACCAGAGGGTCAATTGTCGGAACTTCGGACTCTGCACGTTCATCACTGTTCCACTCATGGTCAGGGTTCGGAGGTCCGTGTCTGACAAAAGGTTGTGATTGCACTGATCTGCTGTGACGGGAGTTGTCTGCAAACAGCACTGAACCATGATGGGAACGATCAGAGTGGGCGTCTACCACAGATGCATTGCTACCATGTCGTGGCATGTATGTCCAGACACCATCATCCGTCTCACGTCTAAGTGCTACACTAGAATGGTAATATTCAGCACTACCACAAGCATCGCATACTATGCATGCCCAATCATCATTGGATCTAGTGAATCTGTTGTGATCGCAAACCCAACATCGCCAAGAATCAACTGACGGAGAGCTGCCACTTTCTCAGAATGCCCATGGATCGAATGCGATGCACTGCCAGGATCGAACTGCATGCTTGCGATCTGCGGCATCGCAACCAGCTCCGATATACCAACTAGCAGTGACGTGTGCCAAAACGCCCCTCGATACAAATGCCACAAGCAACTCGATCAGCTCATGGCTTTTCGCTGCGAAATGCGAAAGGCTCAGGATCCTATACGCAGCGGCCATGCAAGGTGAAACCTGTCAGGATATGGTGTGACAACTGCTGCATGCTTCAGACTTTCACATATTTAAGTTTATTTAGGGTTGGGTTTTGGATTTACTTAGAATTGGTTTTGGGTTTATTTATTTATGGTTGGTCTGGTGTCTATTCAGGATTGGTTTAAGGCTTACTTCAGGTTGGCTTAAGATCTACAGAGGGTTTATTTCGGGTTGGTTTAGGGAATGTTTTGGGCTGGTTTGGGGGTTTATTTGGGGTTGGTTTAGGGTTGGTTTAGATGCTATTTGAAGTTGGCTCAGGAGTTTGTAGGTTTGGGATCTATTCAGGGTTGGTTTAAGGTTTATCTAGGGTTGGTGTGGGGGTTATTTAGTGTTGGCTTAGACGTGACAGACTGACAGATTCAATGTTATTAAGAGTCGTTTTGGTGCTTTACAGTTAAGGCTTGAAAGAACACAGAGAGGTACAGAGAATGTGTTAAACAGTAGAGCGGTCTGTCTCCTGTCTGTTTCTGCCAATGTTTGGTGTCTGCCTCCAATCCTGCGAAGCTTCCCATGGCCCCATGGGCCACCCCCCCGCGCCTCCTCCATCTCTTCTTCAGCTTGCTTGTTGGCAGTCTTCCAGCTGCGCTGAATGATTCGGATGCGGGAGGCATACTCACGGCGAATGTAGATGTAGGCACCACCGGTATAGTTCAGGATGACCTCCGCATGTGAGCCACTCTGGTCTCTCTGTACCAAAACTATCCAAAACTTGCCACTTTGTGTTTGGGACGGCCTCATGCGAGAAAATAAAATACCTGAAAGTATAAATTCACCTCAACTGCAGGCCTGCATTCCGATTTTGGCCTTTGTGGTGAATCGTGTCCCCAATTCCTCAGATCACATGAGTTCACAAGCCAAGTACTGAGCATGACTATTCCGGAGTGGCAGTTTGCAACCACGAAAGCAATCTATGAAGTTTGACTACGGCATCTGTGGCTACCACACCTCCCCATGCATTTGATGACTTGTCAACCGCTTTGCAAATTTAGCAACTCCAGTACTCCCACGCATTGCATTCCAGTGTGTCAGGCTTATAGTTCTTGAGGCAGGCTCGATAAAACACACAGGCATTTCGTGGTTTTTGCTGTCTGCTCCTCGCACCCTTCTGTGACATCAGACATGTGGCCATTTCAAAGAGATCGACAATGGCATCTCGAAAAATGCCCACACGTGGAACAGTCACTTCCAAGTCCAAGTGTTGAAAGCCCAGGCTCCTTAGCTGCACACATGTACCATGCCAACCCATGCTCCAAAGAGTCGGCTCAACAAAATGGTGAATTGGGACCAATGCAACGCGCGCACTGCCGACTGATGTGCCAGTCCCAACAGCATCAAATTTGCTGTGCGCATCTGTGCGCCACAAAATCCGCCCAAATCCTGTGCAGTAGTTCTAGTCCGGGAGATATCTTGCAGCTCATAATTTCATTCTAGTAGCTCCATGTCTAGCTTATCGCCCCCTCAGCCCTCAGAGTTGGGCAAATCATTTTATTTGCATAACTAGACGACGGATGGCCCGAGAGCGTAGAGGAGCAGGGTCTTCTCTTGTTAGTATGGAGACACCATATTACAAAACAATATAATTATTAAAGATGCGTTATAGGCAGTCGAGAAGAGGAGTATCAAGACAATATAGCACAAGTACAAGACAATAGTTTGCATCGCAAACTCTTTTACACACAGAAGCTTTTACATAGAGCAAGCTATAACACAGAGAACCCCTTACACAGAGAAGCTTTTACACACAGAAGCTTTTACACACAGACACTTTTACACACAGACGCTTTTACATTACACACAGACACTTTTACACACAGGCGCTTTTACATACAGACAGTTTTACACACAGACGCTTTTACACACAGAGTCTTTTACACACAGACGCTTTTACACACAGACCCTTTTACCGACAGCACGCTTTTACACACAGAAGCTTTTACACACAGACGCTTTTACACACAGAGGCTTTTACACACAGAAACTTTTAAACACAGAAACTTTTACACACAGAGGCTTTTACACGCAGACGCTTTTACACACAGAGGCTTTTACACGCAGACGCTTTTACACACAGACCCTTTTACCGACAGCACGCTTTTACACACAGAAGCTTTTACACACAGACGCTTTTACACACAGAGGCCTTTACACACAGAAACTTTTAAACACAGAAACTTTTACACACAGAGGCTTTTACACGCAGACGCTTTGACACACAGAGGCTTTTACACGCAGACGCTTTTACACACAGACCCTTTTACACACAGACGCTTTTACACACAGATGCGTTTACCTACAGCTTTTCCATACTTCGCCGGATAACATGAAAATCGCAATTTTACCTCAGTTTTTGGCGATCGAACCTCGTTTCGTGCGAAAGGGTCGCGCGGGACAAGTTGAAATTGCAATTTTACCTCAGTTTTTGCCGGTCGAACCTCATTTCGCGCGAAAGGGTTGCGACGGGAACCCAGAAATCGCAATTTTACCTTAGTTTTTGACGATCGAACCTCATTTCGTGCGAAAGGGTGCGCGGGACGACTTGCAAATCGCAATTTTACTTCAGTTTTTGACGATTGAACCTCGTTTCGTGCAAAAGGGTTGCGGCGGACACCTTGAAATTGCAATTTTACCTCAGTTTTTGACGATCGAACCTCGTTTCGTGCGAAAGGGTTGCGGCGGACACCTTGAAATCGCAATTTTACCTCAGTTTTTGACGATCGAACCTCATTTCGTGCAAAAGGGTTCGCGGGACGACTTGCAAATCGCAATTTTACCTCAGTTTTTGGCGATCGAACCTCGTTTCGTGCGAAAGGGTTGCGTTTTGTGCCGTCTCGTTGGCACTGCCCCTGCCCCCGCCTTCAGAAGAGAAATAGAAAAGAAGGAGAGGGCAAGAAGGCAAGAGGAGAAGACGTGAAGATGTGAGGATGTGAAGATGTGAAGATGTGAGGATGAGAAGATGTGAAGAAGAGGGCAAGAGGGCAAGAGGGCAAGAGGAGATGTGAAAATGAGCAGATGTGAAGATGAGCAGATGTGAAGATGAGAAGATGTGAAGATGAGAAGATGTGAACATGAGAAGATGAGATACAGACCCCCACTATTGGAAGAACCCTGCGCTCAGACGCTCTCGGGAAAAAATACTGGGGATCAATAAATGAATAAATAAACAGATGAATGAATGAATGAATGAATGAATGAATGAAGGAAGGAATGAATGAATGAATGAATGATTGAATGAATGAATGAATGAGTGAGTGAGTGAGTGAATGAATGAATGAATGAACGAAGGAATGAATGAACGAAGGAATGAAGGAATGAAGGAATGTAGGAATGAAGGAATGAAGGAATGAAGGAATGAAGGAATGAAGGAATGAAGGAATGAAGGAATGAAGGAATGAAGGAATGAAGGAATGAAGGAATGAAGGAATGAAGGAATGAAGGAATGAAGGAATGAAGGAATGAATGAATGAATGAATATGTGAACTGAACAAATGTATAGTGCCGGACAATCACTTAGAACGTCAATTTTTCTAAAATTTCGGACTCTCACACTTAGAACATTAGGGACCCACCACACTTAGAACATGGTTGACACTACTGACCCAAAACAGCTAGAACATCAGGAAATGGATGTTCTAAGTGTGAGGCTCCTTGCAACTAACCCTGGCTCCCCACACATAACATCACAAACAAAGAGTTCGGTCACGTTTATTTTCCTGTCTGCGCCCAATCAACATGTCAGCCAATCAAAATATAGTTATGTCAATAAATCATTATAGAAATATATATATATATGTTGTAATGCCTTCGGGTGTTCTAAGGGTGGGGGTCTCCACAGCTGATTGATAACTTTGGGTTCATATAAATAGAGTTATGTCAGTAGATCATTAAAGGTGTCTATATATATACATATATATATATATCTATCTGTGTGTGTCTGTTGCAATGTCTCGGGATGTTCTAAGTGTCGTAGTCTCCACAGCTGATTGGTCACTTTGTGTTCATATAAATTTAGTTATGTCATTAGATCATTATATATATGTATATGTCGTAATGTCTTGGGATGTTCTAAGTGTGGGGGGGTCCCCACAGCTGATTGATAACTTTGTGTTCATATAAATACAGTTATGTCAATAGAGCATTTTAAATATATATATATATATATGTTGTATCTAATGCCTTGGGATGTTCTAAGTGTGGGGGTCTCCACAGCTGATTGATAACGTTGTGTTCATATATATATATATATGTATTGTTATGTCAATAGATCATTCACGATTCATATATATATATATATGTGTGTGTGTGTGTTGTAGTGCCTTGGGGTGTTCTAAGTGTGGGGGTCCCCACACCTGATTGATAACTTTGTGTTCATGCAAATATAGTTATGTCAATAGATCATGGTAGGGATAAATATGTTGTATCTAATGTCTTGGGAAGTTCTAAGTGTGGGGGTCTCAACAGCTGATTGATAACTTTGTGTTCAAATAAATGTAGTTATGTCAATAGATCATTTTCAATATATATATATATATATGTTGTAATGTCTTGGGATGCTCTATGTGTGGGGGTCCCCACAGCTGATTGATAACTTTGTGTTCATATAAATATAGTTTTGTCAATAGATCATTTTCAATATATATATATATATGTTGTAATGTCTTGGGATGCTCTAAGTGTGGGGGTCTCCACAGCTGATTGATAACTTTGTGTTCGTATAGGTGTAGTTATGTCAAAAGATAATTATAGAAATATAAGCTTCTCCGCTTACATAGAATATGTTTTTTTAGATTGCACGGGCAAATTTGCCGAACATGTACTTAGAATATTTCCCCATTTCATGTTGATTTTTCTCTCCCCATGTGGCCTTTGCTCTCGAAGCCTTTGTACATCTCTATGCGGCGGCGAAAAATGACTTTTTAGTATACAAAGTAATAAGAAATCAGTCAATTTGGGGACCCTGCCAGTTTTTAATTTTTATCACCAAACACCTTGTGATTTTTTTCCTATCTATTTGTCTGGAAACATGAAAGAATTTATATGGAAAAAAATCTGGAAAAGTGAAGAATTTGTATGGAACATTTGAAGGATTTTTAAAGAAAAATGAAAAGCACATATGGAAAAATGCTGAATTTGACTGAAAAAGTGAAAGAATTTATGTGTCAAAAATTTGGAAAAGTGAAGAATTTGTATGGAAACATGAAGGATTTATTTATTTTTAAAAAAAAGTGAAGAATTTCCATGGAAAAATGACGAATTCGCCTGGACAAGCGAAAGAATTTGTATGGTCCAACGGTATTCTAAGTATAGGTTTTTTGACGTCAACTGTATTCTAAGATATTCTAAGTATCGTTTTTCAAGTTCAATTCCTGGGATGCCCAGGGAAGCCGAAATTTCAATTCCATATTCTGTGTGGGTGGAGGACCTAAGCTATATATATAAATATATACATGTTGTAATGCCTTGGGATGTTCTAAGTGTGGGGGTCTCCACAGCTGATTGATAACTTTGTGTTCGCATAAATGCAGTTATGTCAATAGATCATTATAAATATGAAAATATATACATATATGTAAATATATATATATGTTGTAATGTCTTGGGGTGCTCTAAGTGTGGGGGCCTCCACAGCTGATTGATAACTTTGTAATCGTATAAATGTAGTTATGTCAATAGAATATTAGTATATATATGTGTGTGTGTGTAATGTCTTGGGATGTTCTAAGTGTGGGGGTCTCCACAGCTGATTGATAACTTTGTGTTCAAATAAATATAGTTATGTCAAAAGAACATTTTAAATATATATATATGTATATGTTGTAATGTCTTGGGATGTTCTATGTGTGGGGTCTCCACAGCTGATTGATAACTTTGTGTTCATATAAATACAGTTATGCCAATAGATCATTATAAATATAAATATAAATATATATATATGTATATGTTGTAATGTCGTGGGATGTTCTAAGTGTGGGGGTCTCCACAGCTGATTGATAACTTTGTGTTCGTATAAATGCAGTTATGTCAATAGATCATTATAGAAATATAAGCTTCTCCGCTTACATAGAATATGCATGTTTCAATTGCACAGGCAAATTTGCCGAACATGTACTTAGAATATTTCCCCATTTCATGTTGATTTTTCTCTCCCCATGTGGCCTTTGCTCTCGAAGCCTTTGTACATCTCTATGCGGCGGCGAAAAATGACTTTTTAGTATACAAAGTAATAAGAAATCAGTCAATTTCGGGACCCTGCCAGTTTTTAATTTTTATCACCAAACACCTTGTGATTTTTGTCCTATCTATTTGTCTGGAAACATGAAAGAATTTATGGAAAAAATCTGGAAAAGTGAAGAATTTGTATGGAACATTTGATGGATTCTTAAAGAAAAATGAAAAGCACATATGGAAAAATGCTGAATTTGACTGAAAAAGTGAAAGAATTTATATGACAAAAATTTGGAAGTGTGAAGAATTTGTATGGAAACGTGCAGGATTTATAAAGAAAAGTGCAGAATTTCCATGGAAAAATGACGAATTCGTCTGGACAAGCGAAAGAATTTGTATGGTCCAACGGTATTCTAAGTATAGGTTTTTTGACGTCAACTGTATTCTAAAATATTCTAAGTATCGTTTTTCAAGTTCAATTCCTGGGATGCCCAGGGAAGCCAAAATTTCAATTCCATATTCTGTGTGGGCGGAGGACCTTATATATATATATACATGTAGTCATGTCTTGGGATGTTCTAAGTGTGGGGGTCTCCACAGCTGATTGATAACTTTGTAATCGTATAAATAAAGTTGTGTCAATAGATCATTATAAATATAAATATATATATATGTATATGTTGTAATGTCTTGGGATGTTCTAAGTGTGGAGGTCTCCACAGCTGATTGATAACTTGTAATCGTATAAATGTAGTCATGCAAATAGATTTTAATTTATATATATATGTGAAATGTCTTGGGATGTTCTAAGTGCGGGGGTCTCCACAGCTAATTGATAACTTTGTGTTCAAAAAAAAGAGTGATGTCAAGAGATCATTATAAACAAATATATATGTTGTAATGTCTTGGGATGCTCTAAGTGTGGGGGTCTCCACAGCTGGTTGATAACTTTGTGTTCATAAAAATATGGTTATGTCAATAGATCATCATCATCATCATCATCATCATCATCATCATATATATATATGTGTGTGTTGTAATGTCCTGGGATGTTCTAAGTGTGGGAGTCTCCACAGCTGATTGATAACTTTGTGCTCATTTAAATGCAGTTATGTCAATAGATCATTATAGAAATATAAGCTTCTCCGCTTACATAGAATATGCATGTTTCAATTGCACAGGCAAATTTGCCGAACATGTACTTAGAATATTTCCCCATTTCATGTTGATTCTTCTCTCCCCATGTGGCCTTTGCTCCCGAAGCCTTTGTACATCTCTATGCGGCGGCGAAAAATGTACTTTTTAGTATACAAAGTAACAAGAAATCAGTCAATTTCGGGACCCTGCCAATTTTTCCCCACCTGCCAGGTGAGGGTTGTTAGATTTTATCAGAGCTGTTCTCCTCCTCCTCCGCCTCCGCATCCTCCTCCTCCTCGTCCTCCTCCCCCTCCTCCTCGCAGTCCAGATCCCAGTGGGCACAGCCGGACCTCCACCGCGAGCGCCAGATCCCAGTGGGCACTGCCGGACCTCCACCGCGAGCTCCAGATCCCAGTGGGCACTGCCGGACCTCCACCGCGAGCTCCAGATCCCAGTGGGCACTGCCGGAGCTCAACCGCGACTTCCAGATCGCAGTGGGCACTGCCGGACCTCAACCGCGACTTCCAGATCGCAGTGGGCACTGCCGGACCTCAACCGCGACTTCCAGATCGCAGTGGGCACTGCCGGACCTCAACGGCCAGATAGAATGCCAGAAGATATGCCAGATAGAATGCCAGAAGATATGTCAGATAGAATGCCAGAAGATATGCCAGATAGAATGCCAGAAGATTTGCCAGATTGAATGCCAGAACATATGCCAAAAGATATGCCAGATAGAATGCCAGAAGATATGTCAGATAGAATGCCAGAAGATTTGCCAGATAGAATGCCAGAAGATATGCCAGAAGATATGCCAGATAAAATGCCAGAAGATATGTCAGAAGATATGCCAGATAAAATGCCAGAAGATATGTCAGATAGAATGCCAGGAGATTTGCCAGATAGAATGCCAGAAGATTTGCCAGATAGAATGCCAGAAGATATGCCAGAAGATATGCCAGAACATATGCCAGAAGATATGCCAGATAGAATGCCAGATAGAATGCCAGAAGATATGTCAGATAGAATGCCAGAAGATTTGCCAGATAGAATGCCAGAAGCTATGCCAGAAGATATGCCACAACATATGCCAGAAGATATGCCAGGTAGAATGCCAGAAGATATGTCAGATAGAATGCCAGGAGATTTGCCAGTAAGAAAATGTATGAATGCCATGGTGGGGATCATTCGAAGTGAAGTAATTAATGTTTATCACCAAACACCTTGTGATTTTTGTCCTATCTATTTGTCTGGAAATTAATTTTTATCACCAAACATCTTGTGATTTTTGTCCTATCTATTTGTCTGGAAACATGAAAGAAATTATGGAAAAAATCTGGAAAAGTGAAGAATTTGTATGGAACATTTGAAGGATTTTTAAAGAAAAATGAAAAGCACATATGGAAAAATGCTGAAATTGACTGAAAAAGTGAAAGAATTTATATGACAAAAATTTGGAAAAGTGAAGAATTTGTATGGAAACGTGCAGGATTTATAAAGAAAAGTGAAGAATTTCCATGGAAAAATAACGAATTCGCCTGGACAAGCGAAAGAATTTATATGGTCCAACGGTATTCTAAGTATAGGTTTTTTGACGTCAACTGTATTCTAAGATATTCTAAGTATCGTTTTTCAAGTTCAATTCCTTGGATGCCCGGGGAAGCCAAAATTTCAATTCCATATTCTGTGTGGGCGGAGGACCTTATATATATATATATATACATGTTGTAATGTCTTGGGATGTTCTAAGTGTGGGGGCCTCCACAGCTGATTGATAACTTTGCAATCGTATAAATAAAGTTGTGTCAATAGATCATTATAAATATAAATATATACATATATGTATATGTTGCAATGTCTTGGGATGTTCTAAGTGTGGAGGTCTCTACAGCTGATTGATAACTTTGTAATCGTATAAATGTAGTTATGTAAATAGATTATAATATATATATATGTGTGTGTGTGTGTGAAATGTCTTGGAATGTTCTAAGTGCGGGGGTCTCCACAGCTAATTGATAACTTTGTGTTCAAACAAAAGAGTGATGTCAAGAGATCATTATAAACAAATATATATGTTGTAATTAATGTCTTGGGATGCTCTAAGTGTGGGGGTCTCCACAGCTGGTTGATAACTTTGTGTTCATATACATGTAGATATGTCAATAGATCATTATAGAAATATAAGCTTCTCCGCTTACATAGAATATGCATGTTTCAATTGCACAGGCAAATTTGCCGAAAATGTACTTAGAATATTCCCCCATTTCCATGTTGATTTTTTTCTCCCCATGTGGCCTTTGCTCTCGAAGCCTTTGCACATCTCTATGTAGCGGTGAAAAAGTGTACTTTTCAGTGTACAAAGTAATAAGAAATAGGTCCATTTGGCGACCCTGCCAGTTTTTGATGTTGGCACCAAACGCATTGTGAAAATTTTACCTATCTATTTGTCCGGAAACATGTAATAATTTATATGGAAGAAATTTGGAAAAGTGAAGAATTTGTATGGAACATGTGAAGGATGTTTAAAGAAAAGTGAAAAACTATATGGAAAAATGCTGAATTTGACTGAACAAGTGAAAGAATTATATGGAAAAATGACGAATTCGTCTGGACAAGCGAAAGAATTTATATGGTCCAACGGTATTCTAAGTATAGGTTTTTTGACGTCAACTGTATTCTAAAATATTCTAAGTATCGTTTTTCAAGTTCAATTCTTGGGATGCCCGGGGAAGCCAAAATTTCAATTCCATATTCTGTGTGGGTGGAGGACCTTATATATATATATGTGTGTGTGTGTGTTGTAATGTCTTGGGATGTTCTAAGTGTGGGGGTCTCCACAGCTAATTGATAACTTTTGTGCACATATAAATATAGTTATGTCAATAGATCATCATGGGATGTTCTAAATGATCTGCTTTCCATGTTCTAAGTGTGAGGGTTCACGGCTATTCCAAACATAGAAACAGAAATAAAAAAACAAAGCGTTATCCAAATGACGTTCTAAGTAGTGTCCGCCACTATATATATAAATAAAAGGATGCATAAATTAGTTCCAAAAAAAACTATACTGCATAGAAATATACGCAAGCCTTTTTTGGAAAATGAAAACTAAGTATATGAATAAATATATAAAGGAAAAAATAAATGCATAAGTAAATAAATGAATAAATAAATGAATAAAGAAATAAATATATAAATATATAAATATATAATTATATGTATGTATGTATGTATGTATGTATGTATGTATGTATGTATGTATGTATGTATGTATGTATGTATGTATGTATGTGTGTGTGTGTATGTGTGTATGTGTGTATGTGTGTATGTGTGTATGTGTGTATGTGTGCATGTATGTATGTATGTATGTATGTATGTATGTATGCATGCATGCATGCATGCATGTATGTATGTATGTAGATACGTAGTGTTGGCCGTGCCCGGGATGTGACGGGCATGCAACTTCTCCAAGCCCGCCGCTTCGACTGCAATGGAGGTTCCGCGCCCAGAAAGTTCAGAGCCGGGTCGGAGCTTGCAAGGCGCTGTCAGGCTGCCCGACTCCACCACCAACGTCACCTGACAACTCTGCAGCTCCCGCTCCCAGAGTCGGATCGCTGTCAGCACTGCCAGGGTCTCGACAATGCTCCAGGGTAAATCCCAATTCCTCTGCATCCCTGAGTAGAATCGCACCCAAGCCCGTCGGGCTGGCGTCTGTGATGATCGTCGCCTTCGGGTACTTGCCAATGTCCATGCGCAGTTTCCTCGATGGCTTGTTCATGGCCGTCTCCAAGTACGTGACTAGCCACTTGCGGGCTTGTTCCAATTGATTCCGGTTGAAGAAGTTGTCTTTCGACCTGGTGTCCCGTCGGGCGGACCTCCTCCGGTCTTCTGCGCCGCTCTGGATGTCTGCCACCCTGGTGTGCATCACCTTGTAGAAGACTGTGACCACCCACCTGGTGCGTGGCAGTAGCCCCGCCATCCATGAGGTCTTCCCTGCCACTTGGCGTAGATCACGAAGTGGTGCCAGGCCCTTGCCTTCCCATGCTTTGAGCTTCTCAATCAGTTCCTTCGTGTATTTCTCGGGGAGAAACAAGATCAGGTTGCCGTCCACCAGTGCAAACCTCACCCCAATCCTTGTACCTGCGGTCCTCTCTCTCCTTTGCTGAGCGCTGTCTTGAGCCCGAGGGCGGCCGCTGTGGTCAAGTATCCACAGCGCGTCATGCAGGTACGTCTGGTGCTGTGCTTCGTGGCCCCTGAAAAACGATTGGGCCATGCGCGACCACAAAGCCGCCACCCTCGACCATAGTTAGCGGGGCTGTCTTGTACCCGAATAGGAGCGCTGCGAAGAGGTAGAACTCGCCTTCGTCCAGGCTTGGGGCTAAGGTGTGTGGGTGTTCCAGCTCTCTGCCGTACGAAGAACCCGAGCCGTAGGGCTGTCGCTTGTCGTAGACATCCTTCATCATGTCGATGGCGTCCCTGGGTCGTGGCAGGACCAGCTTCTCGGGTAAAAACACCTTGCCGTTCCCGTGGGAGCGCTTGAGATCGATACCCGTCTCTTCACCTCTCCGTTGGGCTTGTTCTTCACGATCAGGCCCAGGCGCGAGGCGGTGCCGTGAGCCATCTTGGCTTCAGCTTCCTCCACTGGGATGACCTTCATGTAGCCCAGCTCTTTGTACCTCTCCAGCTTGATGCGTGACTGAGCTGTAGTTCGCCGCCTCCGCCATGTTGGCCCACGGTTCTACCATTTCACTTGGCCCCTTGCATTCATCTTGCTGATATTTATATATATATATATATTTGTTTTTTCGGGTGGCCTGAGATTTTTTTTTGAGGCTAAGCTATTTGAGAATCTCGTTTGCTTCAACACTGACTGATTTGGAATACCCTTTGCAACCCTAACTTGTGACATCTAAGGCATGTACGGAACATGTTGTTTGTTTCCCTTGTCCTTTCCTTTTCAAAATTCATACATATTCGTACATTTTTTCCCTTTCTATTGGCTCTTTCAATTTTTCTCGTCGGGGCAGCTGAAGAGGTATTTGAAATTATTGCTGGTTTATTTATCCCCGTTGGGTGTGCCACAGAGGGGCAGCACAAAGGTTTTCAGCCAAAAACCTGGTTGAAAACTTATAGGGCCAACATATTTATTTTGGCCAAAATGAAAACCTATGGGGTTGACATGTCACATCTTGGTGATGTTTGCACAACATTAAAAAAAACGCAAAAATATAAACCTTATGAGCTGACATAGGGTAAAGTCCAATCACGTTTTTTTTTTAATGAAACCCTTGTAGGCCAAGATAGCCTAAAAACATATGTCCCCAAAAAAACAAAAAATGAATCCCTTGAGGGGTGAGATACTTAAGGAATGATCAAATGCCTTTTGATGGGGTTGTGGTTTCAGGTGAAACCCTCTGGTCTAGGCAAAATGTTGGTTCAAAGGAATTCATCTTATGTCATGTAGGATCCTTAAACATACATGTAATTCCTGAGTATCCGAAGCAGCTGTCCTTTTTGCCCCTCAACGATGATCTCGGCTCACTGTCTTTGTTCATTGTTCACAGGATGGAAACATCAAAAACTCAAGATACAAGTTTGTAGTATTAATATAAAATCATCCCAGAAGCATGAGATACTATGAACCCTAGCACCAAGGAATCCAACCGCGAGAGTCCTACCATTGGAAAGGCCTACAGTCCTAAGTGCTAAGATTTGCAAGATCAAAATGATCAATTCGGCTCCACCACTGGATGCTTTGGCCCCTTGCTCGACAGTGCCAACTGTGCCGAGTGGAATCTCATGAACCACTCTGAGGAATTCCTGGGCTCGCATCTTTGATCCATGCAGGGTCTCGTAAGCCAATCACCCACATGTAACATAGGATATGTGGATTTGCAATTAATGGAAAGATGCGTTTAGCAATTCGGTAGGATACATTAGAGAATACATTTAGCCTCTGTGCCCCATCCTCTAAGATCTAAATACATGAAGTAAGTAAACAAAAAATGTTTGAGAAAAAACCGGCCGAGCTTCTTGTCGATCTTGGCGCATTTTCACAAAGTGCGCGTGCACAACACTTCCGTACTTCTCTTTGTTCCTCACCCCCTTGTGCACTGCTGAAAAAAAGGCCGGAGCACGTTCGACCAACTCTGACCAAAGCAATCCAGTGTAGGTGACATTGGTCTTTGGATCTTTTATTCGTACGTGGCCACTCTCTGTAACAATTGGTTTCGCATTCGGCTGGGACGAGTGAAACTCCATCAGCTTCTGAAACTCCTGGCACAGGGATAGATCGGGATTAAATCCCTAGGCCTGAGCTCTGAATGTGTTTGTGTGTGTGTGTGACCTGGTGTAGAAACACACCTCGATGGCTCCTGACGGATCAACTGATCACCACGGCTGTGGCGAGAGAAGTTCTGAGGAATGGCCTCAGCATGGGCAGAGGTTTTGGGTCATGGACCTTGGGCCTTTGGATTTAAGCCATTTTTTTGATTTGGCTCTGGAAATCCAGATCATATTGTGGCATCCAAAAAAACATCCAAACATACCTCTGGGTTAAGAATGTTGATAATGTTATATAATGATATCACAATGGAAGCTAAAAACTTTGAGGGCTGAGGTTCCAATGGATCAACAAGTTGGCAAAGAACCCTTTGGACTCATCTCGATGGCCTGACAGACCTAAAACCTGAGGTTTTCAGCCCTTCCAGCGGCCCAGGATACATTAGAACGCCAAAACCCATGGCTTAAAATGAAAACCTACGGAGTGAGGTTTAAATAAACCAAATCTGGGGTAGATCTGGGGAACCTGAAGAACATATTGATAAATGCTATATTGATAAACAACACACCCACTCTGACAAACCCAGAGATCAGGAACCGAACCTGGATCTCTGCTTTTGCAACCGCCGCCGGTTTCTCCTTGTATGCCACCAGGGTCTTTTGTTTGGGAGCCGATGCCTTCCTTGGCTAAGAGGCCAAACCAAAAACCAAAACCAACGCCAAAAAAGCTTCCAACATTGTGCCAGACTGGTGCGTTAAGAATTTGAATGTCAATATATGAATATAATATATATATATAATAAACTTCTGGTCTGCATCTTAGACAGACAACCTTCAATATATACATCATATATACATCCAGCATCCTCAGATATCTAAGACTTTAAGATTCCATTCCACGCGCTTACCTTGTTACTACACCAAGTTGCGAGCACATGTGTGTGGATTCGAGCTTGACGAGCTCGGCTTTGGCATCTTGCAGGGCTTGTCTGACTTGGACACCTGCTGATCCTGATCTGCATCACTGTTGTCATCATCCAAAACGACCACACCTGCAACAGGCCGAAGTTTCCGCTTGCGTTGGTTCAGCCGAAAGCTTGGAAGATGCCATTGTGTCCACCCACGGGCTTTCTAAATGACCTGAAGTTCCTTTTCACCCAGCACCACCTGCAACCCATCAATGCCTGCCTTTGTGTCTCCCACCTCAAAGACCAGACCCAGGCGATGTATGGGGCAAACTGATGTCGTCGAAGTTGCATTGGCCAGGAAGGTGCCTTCCTTGGTGTTAGGGACTGGTGTAAGCTCAGAAACACGAAAGTAGCGCACTGCGTCACTTGGAATGGGCAATGCCGTTGGCCTACATCCAGCTTTCGCCGTAGAGCGCCATACAGTAAGAACGACGCCAAGGCGCCACTCTTGCTTCTTGGCGGGGGCAAACAGGACTGCCATCCCAGATGCCAAGTCACCACATTCATCTGGCTTGTCAACTGCTTTGCGAAGTGAAGCTGAAAGCATTCTCCAAGCCTGCCAAGAAACAAACACACCAGAGGGATCCATGGGGGCTAAAAACTTTGAGGGCTGAGGTTCCAATGGATCAACAAGTTGGCAAAGAACCCTTTGGACTCATCTCGATGGCCTGACAGACCTAAAACCTAAGGTTTTCAGCCCTTCCAGCGGCCCAGGATACATGAGAAAAATTGCCAAAAGAGAATCGCACGATGCAGAGAATTCAGGTCCAATTTCTGGAATTCACCTTGCCCAAAATCAAGATTTTGGTTGCCAAAGAACTGACATTGCAGGGCAGAAAAATGATTGAACTGAAAACCTACGGAGTGAGGTCCAAAAATGGTCCCAATAAATGTAGTAAATGATGAAATCTGAGGAACTTCATGAACATACCGTACCATTATCCAAAACCACGAAGAAGTCAAACCTCAGGTTTTCAACGGTATTTGTATTGCCAAACACACTGGCTTGGCCTGTGCCCGTGACGTCCTTTTCGATGAAACTCCGCAGATCTGCCGAATGAGGGAGGCTTCGTGTTCAGACTGCTGATGCCAATTGAGCTTCTTGCCAGTCCCAACCTCTCGAAATCGGCGTGGTCTGGGCAAGGCATGCAAATCAGAAGGGACACGGAGATTGACCAACAACCTGGGCTTTCTCAAAGAGCCTGGACAACGTTACCATTTCGGTCAAGCCAGATTCATCAGAAGGGCCACAGACTTCGGCCCAAGACGCCTCATCAAGAGGTTTGGGAGGCAATCCTCTACAGCCAAGGCGCTGGCTGGCAATCTCATCGGCCTCAATCGCAGACAATGGACCTGGGTTCTCAGCAATGGTGTCCCACTCCAATTGATCTGCCTGTTGTCGTGCCTGAAGCGCAGTGAGAAGGTCAAAGCACTCTGCATCTGCTCCTGTCAGGTCGTCTCTGTTGATGGGGCCCTCTGGAGCATCTATGACGAACTCATCGTCAATATCAGAAGCATCACTGGGAGCTTCTTCTGGCGTGCCCTCAAGGACAGGAGCAAACTGTCCTGCAGGATCGCCACCACACTTCACCACATACGCATTCAGCAAAGAGTTGGAAGTGTGCCTGAGACCAGGGACTACAGTAAGATAAAATCCACAGGACAAGGCAAGGTCTGGAAAGCTTCAAACCATGATGAAACCTTGAAGTGTGGACCTTGAGCCTTTGGATTCCTTTGGAAAAAATGTTTCCGAAATCTGGATTTCTTGATTTGGATATCGATGGTTTCAATCCACACGATACAGGATATACAGGGTATTCCGGTTGAACAAAACTAAAAATAGAACGCTTTTGAGTGCCCAAACATGATTGAAATGAAAACCTACAGAGATTACAGAGTAAGGTCCAAATAAACCAATTCTGAGGTAGGCCTGGGGAACCTCATTAACAGATCATTATCGAAGAACTCAGACCCCAGGTTTTCAAAACATACCAATTGATCCAATTGCAAAACTCAATCCAAGAAACTCAGAGCATGCTGCCATCAGCCTCAATGCACTGTTCAGTGCTCTCTCTGAGCATGCGATGAAAGTTTCATCAGACAAGGGCTTCTCAACCCTTTTTGGGAGGTTCTCCTGCAGTGTCGGTGACTGATGTTGCATTTTCAGCAAAGTCTGGTACGACTTTTTTGCTGATGCATGTAAATAGTCCCGTGTTCGGAGCTGGCTGTTCGCGAATTGACCACGAAGATGGCCAAAGTGCTGTTCCAACTTGAGCTCGGTCGAACTCCATGGCGCATAGGGCCCATTGACTGAAGTGCACAGCAGGCGCAAAGCTCTTGGAGGTTTCGCTGGGTCTGTTTTGCAATCCAGAACAGATCTTTGGAGACACCGTGATCTTTGCTGCGCTGCTCTGCCACCAGTGCACACAAGTCCAGCAAGACAAAGCCAGTCAGTGCATTTTCGAGACGCTGCTCCAAATTCAGATTGGGGTTCATGACTGCTGCCAAACACATAGCCTCTCTGAGATTGACAAGCAAAAAGCCAGTGAGGCTCCACGGGACTCTTCCCTCGTCCATGTCATCTGTGAGAAAGTAGCCTCATTCAATGTTGGTTTTCAACATATCTCAGCTGATTAAGTGATTGGCAGGCTAAAAACCTAAGGTGCGAGTTCTTTGATATTTGAACTAAAATCCTGAGGTGTGAGATCTTTGGTAATTATCTGAGCTAAAATCCTGAAGTGTGAGATCTTTGATGGTGATATCTGAGAATCCTGATATAGATATATTACCTGCGGATTGCCAAGTAGCCATTCAGGAAAGTCGCCGCCTCCCTGTCTGATTGCCCATCGTATCCCACAAAGGCCCCCGGAGGCATGTGCAAATCCAATGCGGCAACTGGGTCTGCAAAGCACCGCCCAAAGTACACAGTGCGCGCAGGACTTCGCAGTTGACCACATACGTTTTTCTGTATGTGTGCTGGGCCATTCAGCAAAAACCTATGCGAAGTCTTGGAAATGTCCCTGTTCAAAAAAAAACAGAGATCATCATAAACCACAAACTTCAAATTTTCAGCTTGAATTATTTGAATTAGAAACCGGCCCATGGATCTCAACCTACAATGAAATCACATAATTACCTCACTTCTAGTGATCACCTGGCAGCCGGGGGAAAAAAGTAAACATGCTGACTGTGTTCAAAAAATTCAAGACGCAGTGTCTCTCCAGCAACTTGAGGCTTCCGGAACGGAAATCGTGGCAACGCAGAGGTTGGCAAATCCACGTAGGAAAGGCGTTTCCAGAATGGAAGAGCCTGAACTTCTTGAGCAGATAGGCCTGCTGGAGTGCCAAGGAGTAGGCTCTTGATAAGACCGTGGTTGGTCGCATTGTCACACACGATGGTCTTGACATTGGTGGCTCTTTCCAGGGTCTCACCAACAAGCAGTGCCATCTGTTTGCTGTCACAGGAGTACTCCATTGGGACACAACTCAATGACAATCTTGGCTGGCTTTTCAAAAGCGGGTTCCAACCAAGAAACTCGCACATCTCATGTGCATAGTTGAGAGATGCAGCGTCCCAACCGGAATTCTTCATATTCTTGCCATTCTGGTCCTCAGATTGACCTGGCTCCTGAAGTTTTCAGCCAATGCACATCGATAAAAACCAACAGGATAAGGTCTGGAATCTGGAAAGCCTCAATGACCTCAACATCTTTGGGACATTCAAACCATGATGAAACCTTGGCGTGTGGACCTTGAGCCTTTGGATTTCAACCTTTGGAAAAAATGTTTCCGAAATCTGGATTTCTTGATTTGGATGTCGATGGTTTCAATCCACACGATGCAGGATATACAGGATATTCCGGTTGAACAAAACCAAAAATAGAACGCTTTTGAGTGCCCAAACATGATTGAAATGAAAACCTACAGAGATTACAGAGTAAGGTCCAAATAAACCAATTCTGAGGAATGCCTGGGGAATCTCATTAACATATCATTATCGAAGACCTCAGACCTCAGGTTTTCAAAACATACCAGTTTCATGGCTGTCCTTGGGGATCGTGGTCTCCATCAGGTTGCGCAAGCACTTCCATAGCAAGACTTGTTCCAACATAGCCACGTCCACGGCGAAGTTGGACCAAATCTATGCCCTGAAGAATGTATGTTTTGTCAAAAGCTAGGACCAAGTGGCGAGTGCTTGGGCACAAAGGCAAATCTTCATCATCATCACCTTCAAGCTTCTTGGAGGAAGTGGGTGTCCGCAACGAAGATCCGATGAAATGAGAGTTCTGCTTGATAATGTCTGGGGAATCCACAGCCAGGAAAGGTTCTGGTAGTCCAAATTGGAACAAGTTGCTGAGAGGAAGTTTTGGGGCTGCAAAAGATAACCCAAAAGTCTGCAGCAAGGATTTGTTGGAAGCGGCCATTGCCAGCGCCACCCCAGCTTCACTCATGCACTGCATCTCCGCATCTGACAGTTTGAGGCCTTTCATGTTGTAGATGCCTCTAGATGCACGAGTACCCTGCTCAACGCAGGCAATCAAGATGCCTTGCACCATCGGGTGCGCATCCAAAGCGCCTGCGGCGACCTTGCAGGCCAGCTTCAGGTTTACCTCATCCAAGGTCGCCAGCTCTTTTGACCTCAATTTACTGGCAATCACATGCGCATAATCTTTCACCACTCTTGCATCCCATGTTGGAATGTGAACTTGCACAGACGGCAGCACCAGGTAGGCGATCCAACTCTCCAAAACGGTTCCCCAATGGCTCTTCGGAACAGACAAGAATTGAGTTCTCACATAGCGCTGGAGCTGCTCAGTATCTTTGTCAACATAGGAGCAAATGGCTTCAACCTCAGCTGTGAACCTTGGAGTGACTTTCAGCAGAGGGGCTGACTTGATCTCCTTAGCCAGGGACTCGACAGTCGAAGGCTCCCATAGTTGCGCCGCCAAAAGTCCTTACAAAACCACAGCTATCAGGATTTCATCCCGGATATCCCGGTCTGTTAGGGTTGGGTGAATACAGACCTCATGCTTCAGGTTTCCAGCCCTCCCAGGAACTGAAGATTCAACATGAAAGACCTTGGACTGAAGGATTTTACCAAGTGTCTGGCCGCATTGTGCTTCACAAAGAAACGTCCAACAATCCGAATCACACTGGGGTCATTCCCAAGAGAGCTGCACATCGCACATAGGACGTTTGCCAGCTTCACACAAATGAACTTTCCCCTCACTAGCTCGATGAACAATCACATGTTCGTTCTGGGTCAGGTCAAGAGTGTACTTGTGCCTCGCATCTGCATCTCTCATTGTTCCAACAGATGACATGCAGTTGTATGTGGACCACAAGTTGAACTCCTCCCTGATCGTGTTAAGCTTAGTGCCTTGAGCACGCTGAACGCAAAAGCCTTCGCAATCCACAGGCTCACTTGAAGCTTTTTTTGCTGCCTCTGCAAAGACACGCAAGTTGCTGACGTGGGTGGGGCCCTGAACGTGTTGCCAGTAGTACTTTGCTGACCCCATGTTCACCAAATCAAACACTGCGAACTTCCCAGTTCCTTTCCTCTTACAAAGCCGACATTCAACTGGAAAGCTGAGCTTGCGGGTGTTGGGTGGAAGAACTACCATGTGAGGGTCTTTCTGGACAACTCGCATCACCTTCAAACGTCGCAAGTCTGCTTTGGATTCAGATCTTTCAGCCAGGGGATCTTCCAAATCTTTCACTGGTTCACCCTGTGAACTTACATCTCCAGCAGCAGAACAATCACGTTCGTGGTGACTTTCATCCACTTGCATTTCTTCTTCCGTCCCTGGGATCTGGCCTGTCTCAGTAGCTTGCTGGAAGTGGGTGAAGTCGATCTCAAGTCGTTGGAGAATACCGTGACAAATCTTGCGCTGTCCAACCGAGTCAATGGACCATTCAGAGGTCAGCTTCAAGATGAGTGCTTGCCAGGGAAGAAATAGGTCATAAACCTAAGACCTGTGGTTTTCAGATTTTACCAGATTTGATACCAAACCTTGAGCCCAAGATTTTCAATTTTCATACTTATTGTCATGGGTTGTCCATTCTTTCAAACATGTTCAATCCAAACCTTGTCGTCTTCTTCCGCACCAGTCGCTGAAAAAGGAACGCTAGGGCCACTCTGAAGGCGTGGGCGCACGATGCCCGCAACACAGGCTTTTCGACGGCCCTTGATGATGGGCGGAGAATATTCCAAGAAGTTGTTGTGGACCTTTCTTCGCTTCTGTGCTGTCTCTAGTGGCTCCTCCTCATCCTCCTCTTCCTCCTCTTTCACTTCAAGCAGTTCCTGCTTCACTTTCACAAACGCCTGGTTCATGGCTGCTGGATCAAAATAATAAGAGCGCATCTCAGCAACTCAGGATTTTATCCCATTGTGCAACTCTGCCAAGACTGTCCATCAAAATCCATCAAAAGACTCAGACCTTTTTTAAAAATAAACAACAAAACCCACTCTGCAACTTTGGCAAAGGCGTCCATCGAAAGAACCGAATGTCAAAAAGATGTTACATTCTTGATCATTGTTGGAAATATTCCAGAAATGCCAAATTTGAAGCGGCCCGGGGATTCAAGCCTTTCCAGGTTCTCCAGCATCTCCAGCTTCTCCCACAGGCGCAGACGCCTGGCAGGTCAATCTAAGACCACCAGGTTTTCAGCCGGAATCAACTGGAGTCTCAATCAGATAAAAAAAAACAGAAAATACAGAAATGGCAAAGATGGAAAAGTAATATCAACATATATCAACATATGTCAGCGCCGTACGATTTTATCAAATTTAACTTTGCCAAAAAACTGACAATGAAAATCATCAAACGACTTGCCATTCCGACTACAAAACTCATACTGCCCCTGTCTCACCTGGTTTTTGCCCTTCTTCTTGCTCTCTGTGTCGGGCTTCGATGGTTGAGCCTTGCATATGCGAGCGGGGCACATGCCGACAGGGAAAGTTACAGTAAATCCTGCTAGACAATCTCAGACCCCAGGGTTTCATCCTAAACCACAACTTTTACCGAAAGATATCAAAATATTTCACACCCTTCAAATCATTTCAGAAATGCCAGACCTGAAGCGGCCCTTGAGGTTCAAGCTTTTCCAGATTTTCCAGCATCTCCAGCTTTCTCCACCGGCGGAAACTCCTGGCGTGGTCAATCTAAGACCACCAGGTTTTCAGCCGGAATCAACTGGAGTCTCAATCAGATAAAAAAAAACAGAAAATACAGAAATGGCAAGGATGGAAAAGTAATATCAACATATATCAACATATGTCAGCGCCGTACGATTTTATCAAATTTAACTTTGCCAAAAACTGACAATGAAAATCATCAAACGACTTGCCATTCCGACTACAAAACTCATACTGCCCCTGTCTCACCTGGTTTTTGCCCTTCTTCTTGCTCTCTGTGTCGGGCTTTCATATGCGAGCGGGGCACATGCCGACAGGGAAAAGTTACAGTAAATCCTGCTAGACAATCTCAGACCCCAGGGTTTCATCCTAAACCACAACTTTTACCGAAAGATATCAAAATATTCACATCCTTCAAATCATTTCAGAAATGCCAGACCTGAAGCGGCCCTTGAGGTTCAAGCTTTTCCAGATTTTCCAGCATCTCCAGCTTTCTCCACCGGCGGAAACTCCTGGCGTGGTCAATCTAAGACCACCAGGTTTTCAGCCGGAATCAACTGGAGTCTCAATCAGATTAAAAAAAAACAGAAAATACAGAAATGGCAAAGATGGAAAAGTAATATCAACATATGTCAGCGCCGTAGGATTTTATCAAATTTAACTTTGCCAAAAAACTGACAATGAAAATCATCAAACGACTTGCCATTCCGACTACAAAACTCATACTGCCCCTGTCTCACCTGGTTTTTGCCCTTCTTCTTGCTCTCTGCGTCGGGCTTCGATGGTTGAGCCTTGCATATGCGAGCGGGGCACATGCCGACAGGGAAAAGTTACAGAAAATCCTGCTAGACAATCTCAGACCCCAGGGTTTCATCCTAAACCACAACTTTTACCGAAAGATATCAAAATATTTCACATCCTTCAAAACATTTCAGAAATGCTAGACTTGAAGCGGCCCTTGAGGTTCAAGCTTTTCCAGATTTTCCAGCATCTCCAGCTTTCTCCACCGGCGGAAACTCCTGGCGTGGTCAATCTAAGACCACCAGGTTTTCAGCCGGAATCAACTGGAGTCTCAATCAGATTAAAAAAAAACAGAAAATACAGAAATGGCAAAGATGGAAAAGTAATATCAACATATGTCAGCGCCGTAGGATTTTATCAAATTTAACTTTGCCAAAAACTGACAATGAAAATCATCAAACGACTTGCCATTCCGACTACAAAACTCATACTGCTCCTGTCTCACCTCGTTTTTGCCCTTCTTCTTGCTCTCTGTGTCGGGCTTCGATGGTTGAGCCTTGCATATGCGAGCGGGGCACATGCCGACAGGGAAAAGTTACAGCAAATCCTGCTAGACAATCTCAGACCCCAGGGTTTCATCCTAAACCACAACTTTTACCGAAAGATATCAAAATATTTCACACCCTTCAAATCATTTCAGAAATGCTAGACCTGAAGCGGCCCTTGAGGTTCAAGCTTTTCCAGATTTTCCAGCATCTCCAGCTTTCTCCACCGGCGGAAACTCCTGGCGTGGTCAATCTAAGACCACCAGGTTTTCAGCCGGGTTCAACTTGAGGATCTGTCAGATAAAAGAGATAATCAACAGAAGAAGAAATTTGCATAGGGACTTTACATGGAAGATTGCAGCTTGCAGGGCCGGGAACCGGGATCAGGCACCAAAAGTCAACAGAAGAAGAAATTTATATAAGGACTTTAAATGGAAAGATTTCAGCTTCAATTGAGTGCAGTGTAGTGTAGTGTAGTGGAATGTAGTGAAGGTGTAGTTGTAGTTGTAGTGTAGTGTAGTGTATTGGAGTGTAGTGTCGTGTAGTGTAGTGGTGGTTGTAGTTGAAACTGCTACAAAACCCTCACGTCTTTCCTTACTTTTGACAAGGTGCACAATCCCTTGCGCCTGCCACGCGAAGCGACATCTGAACCTCCAAAAGTGGTCCGAACCCCTGGTGTTTTTAACATTGTGACTTCGAAATGTGCTTCGCGCCACAACGGCGTGCACTTTTTCGACATCTCAACTTCCAAAAGTGGTCCGAGCATGGTGTGCTTTGTACGTTTTGACTTCGAAATGTGCTTCGCGCCACAACGGCGTGCACTTTTTCGACATCTCAACTTCCAAAAGTGGTCCGAGCATGGTGTGCTTTGTACATTTTGACTTCGAAATGTGCTTCGCTCCACAATGGCGTGCACTTTTTCGACATCTCAAACTTCCAAAAGTGGTCCAAACCTGGTGTGTTTTGTACATTTTGACTTCGAAATGTGCTTTGCGCCAACGACGTGCAATTTTTCGACGTCTCAACTTCCAAAAGTGGTCCGACAATGGCGTGTGCTTTGTACATTTTGACTTCGAAGTGTGCTTCGACTCTTTCTCTTCTACTCTTCTCTCTTCTAATCTTTCTCTTCTCTCTGCCTATGCCCTAGTCTGCTTTTCATCTGTCCATATTGTCGGAAGTTTGACTTCTAAACTTCCTTCGTGTATACATATATATATATATATATATTTATACGCACACACCATACTATGACATATATTAGCAAGTACCCCTGGGTCCGCTTCGGGTTCGGCTTTGGGTTCGGCTTGGAGTTTGGGTTCCGTCGCGGTCTTTGGGAACAATTTTAAATAGTCTTTTTTGGGCGGGGGTACGACTTCGGGTTCAGGTGGGGCTCGTTATTACATGTATATATATATATATTATTATTTGTGTATGCATATATAATCATATATATATATGGATATATATAATATATTTATATATATATATTGTGTGTGTATGTGCGTGCGTGTCTCTAGGTCTCAACCTTGGATGCAAGGCGAGCGGCTCTACCTGAGTCTTGAGTTGCTGCGGGTTGTGCGCTGAAGCAATTATGCTTGTGAGACCATTCCTGCACAGGGGGCCAAGTCACATAGAAATAAAAAAGAATCGACATCACAAGCGGCAAAACCATGCTGGACCAACATGACACGTTGAGGAGGATAACTCCCCCAAAGGAAATTGTTATGTGCGATTCCGCCAAACCTGTGATCCAATTGTTCTTGGTTGCTTCACTGTCTGCATACACAATAATTAACACAAGCTCCCACCAAGGTGGACTCTGGTACTCTAGGAAGTAAGCCAAGAGTCATGAAACGCATAGCCATCACAGACCTGAACTCAATTGTTTGAATTGTCCAAGATTCAAGATGGCAGTGACCGAGTGCGAAATTTTGAAATATGACTCAAATAAGAATGTCATACGACTTACACCCAAAAAACGAAAACAACAGGATCACTCTACATCACTCGCTTTTGTCTGAGGGTGTCTGAGGCCACTGACCGGGCTGTCTTGAAGAGACTGTGCAAGCTGGGAGCTGCATCAAAGATCGCTCCGTAGATGGCTTCTCCGGCCGCATCACCTCGAGCTACATCACATTCCATATTCATCCATATTCTAGGTGATGCTATGAATGCTTTGTTTACACCAGCTAGAGAGATAGGCATAGATAAACAGATAGACAGATAGATGGACTGGATAGTAGATAGAACGGATCAGAAGCTATATCTATGTATATATATATATACATATTAACAAAATGATATTGATTACTGGTCACACGGTGGTCCAACGCTAGATTGTTAGTCTTACTATGATATATAGTGGCGTATATATATATATATATACATAATTATATATACATATATACATAATTATATATACGTAATTATATATACATAATTATACATACAAAATTATATATACATACACCTACAGTAGATCATCTGGCAGATCTTGCGAAAGCAAGCTACAGGCAATGATTCTGTTTTCTTTGCGATTCAACCCCGCATCCTGGAACACTTCTCTTGCTGGAAATGCATTGATCTTTTGCCTCTCACCCCTGCAATTACATCAACCTTCTTGAAAGCGAACTCAGGTTTTCCAGTGTTTTGTTCGTTTGACGTCACATTTTCGTGCTTGTCGTTCGACTTGCATTCAAACTTAGAAGCAGCAAACAGCACCAGCAGGTGCCAGAAGGTGATTTGCGTGCATTTACCTGTAGTTAATCCGATTGGCGTTTCATATGTGGGAAGCGTTGTCATGAGATTGTGAATTGTTCCCGTGGCAGTGCATCTGGCACACCATCCACTCCACAACTTGTTACCACATGCAACCACTACAAGTACATGACATTTGGCATCAAAGTATATCAAAGTATGGTTGAAGAATGTTGACTATTTGCCAGCTGCGGTATGACCTCCCTTTGCATCCAAGCGGCGGTCGTTCAAGGAGTTCACAAAGATGTTCAAGGCATCTTGCGCCCCTTGCATCATCTGAGGAGGAAACAACGCCTCGCAGCAAAGTAGGGGGTGGTGGCATCAAACAGCGGGGAGCTTTTGCAATTTCATCATTGTGTGGAAAGGTTATCTGTTTTAAATTCCAGAGCTGCCCTCGTCCCCAGCGCCCTCCTTGTACAGTTTTGAACATTCCTCATAGGGGTACTAAATCCAGGGTGTCCAGAACCACGGTGGAAACACCGAGTACTTAGAACGTCATTTTGAGACATTTTGAGCTAGTTTGAGGGGTAAAATATGACCATTTTGAGCTAGTTTGAGACATTAAGCTGATTTGAGCTAGTTTGAGCTAGTTTGAGCTAGATTAAGGGCCCCAAATCATATTAAGCCATTTTGAGGAATTGTCATTTTTGATTACAAGCAACCACCTTAAAGTAGCTCAAATCAGTTCAAAACAAGTCAAATCACTTGGAAATCATGGAGATGGAGCATAATTCCAACCAACCACCTTAAAGTAGCTCAAAAAAACAATGGACAACATCTTCCAAAATTAAAGGATTTTAAAGGAATTCTCACGAATTTTAAGGAATTTGAAAAAAAATGAAGAATTTTGAGAATTGCAAGAAATTCTAGGAATTTAAAAAAATCCTTAAAATCTCAGGAATTTTAAGGGATTTTAAAGAATTTCAAGGAATTCTAAGGAATTTCAAGGGATTTAAATGAATTCTCAGGAATTCTAAGGAATGTTAAAGAATTTTCAGGAATTTTAATGAATTTTAAGGGATTCTAAGGAATTTGAAGGGATTCAAAAAAAAATCTAAGGAATTCTAAGGAATCTAAAGAAAAATGCAGAATTTTAATGAATCTTGAGGAATTGTTATTGAATTTTACGGAGTTCTAAGGAATTCTCAGGAAGTTGAAGAGATTTTCAAGAATTCTAAGGAATTCTAAACAAGTTTCAGGACGTTAAAAGGGATTCTCAGGAATTCTAATGAATTCTAAAATAAATTAAAGAATTTTAAGGCACTTTAATGACTTTTAAAGATTTTAAGAAATTCTGAAGAATTTTGAAGAATTTTGATTTTACTACAGTCCCCACGGGTGCAAAATCAATGGTCAACATCTTCCAAAATTAAAGATTCAGCAGTTCGAACGATTTTTAAAGCTGTTTGAGCTAGTTTGAGCTAGTTTGAGCTAGTTTGAGTTTGGTATTTTGAGGTTCATTTTCCACCAAAATTATGCAAAAAATACCAAACTCAAAATACCTCAAACTAGCTCATTGAGGCTCAATGAGGTTGTTTGAGCTATTTTGAGGCTGGTGTTTGTCACGTGGTTTTTAGAATATTAAGAAATTTTAACGAATTCTCAGGAATCCTAAGGAATGTTAAAGAATTTTCAATAATTTTAATGAATTTTAAGGGATTTTAAAGAATTTCAAGGAATTCCAAGGGTTTTTAACGGATTCTCAGGAATTCTAAGGAATGTCAAAGAATTTTCAGGAAGCTTAAAGAATTTTCATGAATTTAAAGGGATTTTAAGGACGAAAGTTTTGTGCTAAGGACGAAAGTTTTGTGCTAAGGACGAAAGTTTTGTGTTAAGGATGAAAGTTTTGTGTTAGAGACGAATTTTCCCGAATGCGTAGCAAGGGTTCCCGTTTCACTCTGGGGGTCTGGGGGTTGAGGGTGTGTTCGCTCGACGTTGCCGAACCGTCCGCAACCGTCCGCAACCGTTCGCAACCGTCCGCAACCGTCCGCGGTAGGTCCATATGGCCGTGCCTATGGGAAGTTCTGCAGAGGTGGTCATTTTTGGAGTTTTCAGACGTGTCGTTGCTTCGTTTCGCGTGGCAGGCGTGGCACTTCGTGACATTCAGACGTGTTCTGCAACGTGGCGAAAGTCGTTTGGCGTGGCAGGCGCAATACTTTTGTGACGTTTTCAGAAGATATGTTGCAGTTTTCGTGGCAGGCGCAGCACTTTGGACGTGTCCATCGTCATTTTTCGTGGCAGGCACAGCACTTTAGATGTGTCCTGTTGCGTGTTTTTTGTAAATCGCATTGGCAGGGCTGCGTCAAGTGGCGACAAGGTGCAAATTCCGTGGCAGGCGTGGCATTTTCTGACATGTGCTGAAAATTGACGGAAGCCTCGCACGAAACATCGATTTTGAGGTTGCAAATTTTCAGGTTCTAAGGAAAACTCGTAGGAAAACGTCGGTTTTGACGCTACAAAGTGTGAAAATTGGAGGAAGTCTCGTACGAAATGCTCGTTTTGGTGCTCCCACCTGTCTTGTCTCGCGTCTCTGGTTTTCCCGTGGCCTCGCCGTGTCTATGGGGGAAGCTGCAAAAATTGTCTTTTTGTCATGATGCCAACTCTGAAAATTGCCGGAAGTCTCGTACGAAATGCTCGTTTTTTTGCACCCACGTGTCTCGTCTCGAGTCGCTGGTTTTCCTGTGGCGTCGCCGTGTCTATGTGGGAAGCCGCAAAACCTCTTCTTTTCGAAGGTTTCCAAGGAAGTTGTCATGTCGTTTTGCGTGGCAGGCGTGGCACTTTGTGACATCCCAACCTGTTTGATGATGTGTCAAAAATGTCAAAATTGGAGGAAGTCTCGTACGAAAAGCTGGTTTTTCTGCATCCACGTAACTCGTCTCGAGTCTCTGGTTTTCCTGTGGCGTCGTCGTGTCTATGGGGGAAGCTCCGCACTCTACACTTTACACTCCACACTTTACATTTTGCACTTTACACTCCTCACTCCTCACCTGAGACTTGACACTCCACATTCCACACTTTACACTCCTCACTCCACACTCCACAC